TCCTTGTAAGGGCCGGGGCCGAGCGTGGACCAGTGGTCAGGACCCGTACCTTGGCTAGGTCGGGTCAGCCGAGCCTCCCTAGCAAGGACCCTGGGACTTCGGGACCCGACGTCCTTGTAAGGGCCGGGGCCGAGCACGGACCAGCCGTCGGGACCCGCACCTTGGCTAGGTCTGGTCAGTCAGTCTCCCCTAGGTCCCCCTTAGCCGGAGGGCTCTGAGTTAATCCCAGTGATAGGGCACGTTAGCCCGGAGGCTGTACTTCCCTAGAGAGCGGGGGTAAGGGCAGTTGTATTACCCTGTTATAAATAAATGTCCTGCCTCTAAAGTTACGTCCCAAGTCTCCTGGAACCCACTACACTTCTCAAAAGTGAAACTCTGTCAGTCTTTCCACTTTATTTGGTGTTGGCAAACGTGCACAAGCACAAATAACAAAACAACTCAGCACATTGGTCAATAACACTTCGTTAAAAAGAAAAATGGGAAACATTTCAGTCAATGGCTATTATTGAAAAGTAAAGTGGATAAGAATTGGAGACAGCACCGGGGCCTGATAAGAATTTCACAATAAAATGTTTCCTGATTGTGGCGAAATGGTGTTTGGTCACGATTTGCACTATTCATATGAAACTATTTTTTTCTAATTCAACGGGAAAAGGTTTGAACATTTCCCACCCTGTTGAAAACCCTGCAAATGGTGTGACCCATTTGAGAAATTACCCGGGTGAAAGTCATGGACATGGCATGCCCCGAATAGCGTAATCATTCAAGTGGAGAGGAGGGAGAAAGACTGAAGCCAGACCAGACTGGATTGAATCGGAGCTACCACGTGGGAGAGAGGCGCATGGCCATCTCTTAAAAAAAAACAGATTGATATAAATGGCGCCAAGGACTGACCAGCCACATCGCGTGGAGCTGCAAGCAGTGAGAGGCTGCGTGGAGGTGGATGCGTGTGTCACTCGGCTGAGGTCAACCCCCCAGGCCGTTCACCCCCCCCCCCAGCCGCCCCTGCTATTGTTGGGAAGAAAGCCACTTCGTCTTCTTTCGTATGGCTGCTGATCTACATGGCAAAGCAACAACTACAATTTCACATTCAGGTGGTCAAGCCAGACACACGCGGTAGAAGCAACGGAGTGGCATCGCTGCGATGCCTCCTTCGTATTTGTGGATAGGGCATTGCGCCGCTATACGTTGCACGCTCTATTCTGGATGACCACCGTCGCACACATTTGTGCATCAGGTATCCGCATCTTGCCATGGTTTGTGCGGATGCGGTTTAGGGTGGAAGCAGGAGCTTGGTGGAAGATCAAACTCAGGGATCTTCTTGCATTGGGTCTTTCCACAAGGTGGTGTTTGTGATTGATTTTGAAGAACTCTGGAACTATGCCTGCCACTGGAACCCCTGCTTTTGTTCACACGCAGTGCAACATGTTATTTATGTAGTTACATGTTATTTATGTAGTTTATTGTTAGAAAATTCGGTGACAGTCCCTATGATCGCTGTTACACTGCATTTATGGCTTTATTTTGGTGATTTTGAAAACGTTTTTTTTGTTTTGGCCATGTTTTTGTTTATTGTAGTACGGAGTTAGACTGATGGCCTTAATCTTAGTTGTCTTGTGGTTGTTGTTGTTGTTTGACTTGCATTCCACTGGGATTTTTGCACACAGCGTTGGTGTACGGTGCTAGTTCAGGAATATTTTGATGTTTTTTTTTCCTGGATTTTCTGTTTGCACAGTCACATAGTCACTTTAAGATGTTTTTCTTGTTCGTATTTTTGTTTTTGGTTGTTGCGGTTGCACCCGATTCAAGAGCCGAATGGCTCACAGGGCTATGCCAAATAAATGGAAAAAATGGAAAATAACATTCCTATCCTGCCTTCGCACCCTTCATAGGGTCTGCTGCGTCTTACAGTGTGAGACAGGGGCTTCAGGCTGACCAATGAGTCGTGTTGATGCATTGCTGTGTGGGGAGGCGTTGCGAGTAAACGGGATGGTTGGTGCCTTGTTTGGGATAGACTAAGTTGATTAATGTGTGTGTGTGATTGTGCTCTGGGTTTGATTTGAGTTGTCTCGTGGTACGCAAATATATGGGAGATGCTCCTGATCCCACGTGCACCTCGCCCACATGAAAGACAGAGATCATCCGTGTATTCTTCGACTCCATAATATATATTTTTTGGGTTAGATCGCGTAATATAAATGTGTCGTTAAACCCGCCACCACTCGACACAGCCACCACCCGATGTGCTTGCTGTACTGGTAACGAATTGGCACGTTCTGTTTACGTGACAAATCTTACTAATTGGCTTTGTCGGGTGGTGGCGGGTTTAACGAGACATCTATATTGACGTGATCTAACCCAACAAAAACCTATATTATGGATATTGGTCGCGAAGGCCTAGGTGTTAAACTAGTCTTAAACTGTTGGAGCAAATGCTGTTAGCGAGCACCTATGAAGGCCGGAACAGTACACAATGTGGTCGGTGGCCAGCACCACCCCCGACCGCCTTTGTCTCCCTCGTAGTAATGTTATACATCGCACCAGGTACTCATTTGAGGCTGAGTCGACCTAGGGGAGGCCCAAGACTGGTTCAGATAATCGTCACTGGTGTTGGCCATGAGCTACAATCGAACTGGGGTTGCCAGGTTTGTAGCGCAGTGCATTAACCACTACACTACCGCTCCCCTACACTACCCTAGTCACGATGTTTTACACACCCTACCAGGTACTCATTTAAGGCTGAGCCGATCTGTGGGATGCCCATGACCGGTTCAGATATTTCACTGCAATCCGTACAGCTGCGTGACACAGATTAACAGTTTTTGCATCATCAGCTGAGTGTGGTGCATTCCTGGGGTCAGCTAAGGGCCGTCCATAAATGACGTCACGCACCTAGGGGGAGGGGGGGTCAGACATTTGTGACGATGTGTGACGAGGGGGGGGGGGGTGAGAAATGTGACGTCACATCAAAATGCGCAACTATCAAAAAATATAGACAACACGTTCTACTTCATTAAATATACTTTTTAATAAATATTTCTCCTACATCAGAGTTTAAAGCGATTTGAAGCATGTTTTATTTTCAAAATGGAAATATGGTTTTGTGGGGGGGGGGGGCAGAGCTTTGTGACGTCATATTTGAGGGGGGAGGGTCTGACTTTTTGTGATGTCGTGTGACGAAGGGGGGGGGTCAAACATCGTCCAAAATCGGGTGACGTCATTTATGGACGGCCCCTTATCGTTTCAAAAGGATTGGAAAAGCTCTCCGAATAAATGTATTTAGGTCACAAGAACGTCTTGGTCGAAACAGTACAGGATAACGCCGACGGACAATGTTTGGCTTGAGGCACGTTTCCCTCCCTGCGTACCGTCTGGTAAATCCAGAGCGTGACGGATGAACGGACATGCGAATCACATGCGAAGTGTGTGTGTGTCTCGTGGCACAGCAGGGGGCACAGGTGGTGCATCAGCCAGTCATCTCAGTCAGTCGACCCGTGGCACCTGCTGGGTCTGTCCCGTGACCTCCTGCCAGCTGGGCGTTCGACACTTCACTTGGTAGCCTCAAGGTGCACGTGGCCTGGCACAAGCGTCGTGGTGACTTCACCGCCACTTAGTGGCGAATGTCGGTTGTTGTTGTCTCGTTGTTTATGTTGAGCTTGCTTCGCGCCGTGCGAGGGAGGGACACAAACATCTATATCCATACGTGTCAGGAACATTTTTGCCGTTTTTTCCATGGATTTTCTGTTTGCACAGTCAACACACAGTCACTTTAAGATGTTTTTCTTGTTCGTGTTTTTGTTTGTTGTGGTTGCACCCGATTCAAGAGCCGAATGGCTCACAGGACTATACCAAAATAAACTGAACTGTCTCTAAGAAGCCACATCTATTTGTGATGTGGGTGTTTCTTAGTGGCATATGAACAATAATGGTGTAGAAAGTTCAGTCTTCCAAACCTTAACCATTATAACTCTTTGGTCGCCCTCCATGTGCTATGAAGAAAGGACATTGGGGGGGGGGGGGGCGACGCAACGTCGCCTGCTCTACATTTGTTTTATTTTAAGGCGTTGCCATTGTTGGATGCGTCGAGGGCTCATTGCGCTTTGGCAACACTGCCACCGCAGACAAGCACAGGCAGTCCCCGACTTACGACGGGGTCGTCATAACGCATCGTAAGTCGGGGACTACCTGCGCTTTGAGACATCACGAAACCCAGCACAACCATTGAGTCCCACAGCCTTCGGGGCTGTTGCACCGCGGTTGCGCAAGCGAACAGCGTGGCCAGCTGCCGCTGGACAGGACGGGCAACACAAAGTACAAAGCCACCCACCCACCCCGCATAGCCTGTAACAGACTATTACAAACTGGTTGCGCAAGTGCTGTTAGCGAGCCCCTATGAAGGGCCGGCACGGCACACGGGGAGGAGGGGGGGGGGGTGTCCAACACCACTCCCGGCCGCCTTTGTCTCCCGAGCGGCGATGTTTTAAACACCGCGCCAGGTACTTATTTGAGGCCGAGTAGACCTAGGGGAGACCCAGGACCGGTTCGAGTAATCGTCACCGGTGTTGGTGGCCGTGAGCGTGAATCGAACTCGGGTCGCCGGGCTCGAAACGCAGCGTAGCGCTAACCGCTGCACCACCGCTCCCCCCCCCCCACTACTGCACCAGTGGCAGGAGGAGTGTGAACACTCCATCCGTCACCCCACGTGCCCACCCACTCTGTGACTCACGTTACCGCCCCAGCACCCCGTGTCACCACCCCCCCTTCTACGCCCCAACACGCGGATTGTGTCTCTACCCCTTACCCCAGTCCCCGTGGGCCGGGAGCTGGGGACAGAGAACGAGAGAGAGACAGGGGGGGCAGGGTCGGGGAGAGAAGGGGAGAGACGGGAGAGAGAGAGAGAGACAGAGAGTCGGGAGAGAAAGGAAGGGAGGAGCAGCAGGAGGAGGAGAGGAACGAGAGGGACAGCGTGGGGAGAGAAAGGGGGAGAAGCAGGCGGAGAAGAGAGAGAGAGGGACACACAAAAAGAAAAATAAGATAAGAAAAAATAATAAAAAATAGAAAGCGAGAGAGAGGGACCCTGCGTTTTGGTGGAGGCGTGGAGAGAAGAAGGGCAGCTGCATCAGAGGACGGTTACAGCGCGGGGACACGTGACCACGTTTGCTTACACACCTGAGTTGCAGGTGTGTCGACCACAGGTGTGTTATTGGTGTGTAAACGCGTGAATTGCGGTGTGCAGGTGTGAACGTGTGTGTGTGCCAGTTACCAATGGTGTTACAGATGGGAATGTGTGTGTGTGTGTGCAAGCGTACTGATGTGTTGTCGTTTACAGGTGTATTGAGGTGTGTGCTGTATTTGCTACAGGTGTGCACAGGTTGGGTGTATGTTGGCCTTCAACAGGTGCTACTCGCTAACAGCACTTGCCCCTCCTACAGTCTGCCAACGCTATACGGGGAGTGGGTCTCTGTATATATGACCACGTGTGTTTATTTACGTGGGTACAGATGAGAAACACCGTGATATTGAAACGCCGAACCCGGGGGCCACCATCCCATCGCCTAAAATCACCCGATGATTGATCTGAGCCGGAACCTGGACCACCCCTAAGTCGACTCGGCCTTGAACGAGCACCTTGGTGCCGTGTGGAGGCGTGAATTCGTGTCGGTGCTCGCTAACAGCACTTTGCCCCCTTCGGGCTCTATGGGAGACATTTATCTTTGGTGCGATGATGCTCGTTGTAATTGCTGGCGAAACGTCGTACTCGAATTGTGAATGTTGCGGGTTTACTCTCCAAAGCACCGGTGTGTGTGCTGTACTTGTCACGAATTGGCGACGTTTTGTTTGCGTGGCAAACCTTTACTAAGTGGCTGTGTCCGGTGGTTATCGGGTTTAATGACACAGTGATGTTTACGTGATCTAAACCCAAACGCCTCTACTGTGGATAATATGGGATCGCGAAAGCCGACTACGACTTTCGTGTTAAACGATACGATGTGAGAACAGTAGGTGCAGCAGTACAGTATATAGGCGTGTGCAGGTAAGCATGGTGTCAAGGTGAGCACGTGTGTACTCACCTCTCGGTGAATATCGGTGAACACAGTTGTGTTAAGGTGTGTGTGTGTATAGGTGAGTACAAGGGTGTACCTGCCTTCAAAGTGTGTATGGGTGTACGTCTCAGCACAGGTGTATACAGGTGAGTATAGGGCAAGCACTGTTTGTGCAGAGAATATCGGTGCGTGGATGTGTACAACTGACAACAGGATACGTGTACAGATGAGAATAGGTGGCATTGGGATTTATAGTTTCGTGTGTATGGGTATATACACGCACGTGAACAAACGTGAAAATTTGGTGTGTGCAGACGAGCATGTGCCAGTGTACAAGTGTTCATGAGCGTATGTGATGTACAGGTGCAGTATGGTTGTACATATGAACACAGATATACAGGCCAGGCAGATGTGTGCGCGCAGCTGCGTATGCGTTACACAGGTGTGCACAGGTGTATGTATGTTGAACTTCTTCAGCACCGTACGTAGAAAAACCACGCTAAGCGGAGGTGTGCACGTGAGTGTAAGCGTGTGCATACAGGTAAACACTGGGTCAGTAATTACACGTGTGTACCTGTGTGCATATATAAACACAGTGCTTACAGGTGAACACAAATGAACGGAGGTGTGTGCATGTGATTACAGGTGAATACGCAGTGCTTACATTGCAAAGAATTGCAGGGAAGCAAAGGTGTTGCATCATGGTTTAGCCCCACCCAGCGGCGGGAGTGATAATTGTGAAACTTCTGAGGGTCTTCGACATGGCAGGCAGCCTGTAATGAGTTGTAGTATATGTACGGTTTACATACAGCCGGTTTATATATGTAATGGTTTCAACCGAGTCGCAGACGTAGACTTGGAGGCAACACATTTACTCAGTTCCAACACATGGGGTAACTTCCCCTTAACAGAATAACAACCTAAGGTGGTGACCACCAGGCTAACTACACTAGTTACTACACTAGTTACACTAGTTACTACACTAGTTACCACGTGACTGGTGTAGTTAACCTGGTGGTGACCACCAGGCTAGCTACACTAGTTACCACGTGACTGGTGTAGTTAACCTGGTGGTGACCACCAGGCTAACTATACTAGTTACCACGTGACTGGTGTAGTTAGCCAGGTGGTGACCACCAGGCTAACTACACTAGTTACCACGTGACTGGTGTAGTTAACCTGGTGGTGACCACCAGGCTAGCTACACTAGTTACCACGTGACTTGTGTAGTTAACCTGGTGGTGACCACCAGGCTAGCTACACTAGTTACCACGTGACTGGTGTAGTTAACCTGGTGGTGACCACCAGGCTAGCTACACTAGTTACCACGTGACTTGTGTAGTTAACCTGGTGGTGACCACCAGGCTAGCTACACTAGTTACCACGTGACTGGTGTAGTTAACCTGGTGGTGACCACCAGGCTAACTATACTAGTTACCACGTGACTGGTGTAGTTAGCTAGGTGGTGACCACCAGGCTAGCTACACTAGTTACCACGTGACTGGTGTAGTTAACCTGGTGGTGACCACCAGGCTAGCTACACTAGTTACCACGTGACTTGTGTAGTTAACCTGGTGGTGACCACCAGGCTAGCTACACTCGTTACCACGTGACTGGTGTAGTTAACCTGGTGGTGACCACCAGGCTAGCTACACTAGTTACCACGTGACTGGTGTAGTTAACCTGGTGGTGACCACCAGGCTAACTATACTAGTTACCACGTGACTGGTGTAGTTAGCCAGGTGGTGATCACCAGGCTAGCTACACTAGTTACTACACTAGTTACTACACTAGTTACCACGTGACTGGTGTAGTTAGCTGGGTGGTGACCACTAGGCTAGCTACACTAGTTACCACGTGACTGGTGTAGTTAGCCACGTGGTGACCACCAGGCTAGCTACACTAGTTACCAGTGACTGGTGTAGTTAGCCGGGTGGTGACCACCAGGCTAGCTACACTAGTTACCAGTGACTGGTGTAGTTAGCCGGGTGGTGACCACCAGGCTAGCTACACTAGTTACCACGTGACTGGTGTAGTTAGCCGGGTGGTGACCACCAGGCTAGCTACACTAGTTACCACGTGACTGGTGTAGTTAGCCAGGTGGTGACCACCAGGCTAGCTACACTAGTTACCACGTGACTGGTGTAGTTAACCTGGTGGTGACCACCAGGCTAGCTACACCAGTCACGTGGTGTATCCGGCGATGTCGCTCCACCGCACGCCGTGCCCCTCTAGGGCCGGTACTGCACCCACAGCCTGTTGACATCCAGCGATGTCACTACACATACATTGACATACATTTATATAGAGTGCGGAATACCTAACGTGGGTAGATTCTAAAGTGTAAAGGTTGTTGAAAACATAACATGCAGTAAGTGTACATTGTGCAGTTTTATTTTCTAAAGAAAATAAAAAATTTTTTAAAGAAAATAAACAAATATTAAATGTTTTACATGTTCACTCAAAATAACCAAAGTGAGTCTCAAATCCCATTTTATCAGGAGATTCCTACTAAATTTTGGAATATTTGGCCAATTAGTGTTTTTGCACATGCGAGGAAACCGGGGTATCTGGAGAAAATGCACACGAGGGGGTAACACTCAAAGCTCTGCACAGATGGGTTAAATAAACCATTCGACGTACAGCTTTTTGAATCACCACTCCCCAGGCTTTGGTAGTTTCACATGTCACTGTGATCTACCACATCAGAATGTGCTCAGTAGTCATGGAACATTGGTCCAATGGTTCCAACCACTTGCCAACTTACGATGGCATATTTACCGTGCGGTGGCATCAACGGCATTGACCATGAGAATAGGGGTTCCCCTTTTTTACGGCAACAAAACAGGTGTTAAGATGTTAAAACACCAAACTTAAACCTTTTACAATGAATCATGTCTGCATTAACCACAACCACAATACGTGTGGTCAGAATGCAAACAAAAAACGTACTCTGATAATACATGCATTGTCTTTGAAACTGATTGGTCCACACCAGAGACAGCTTTTTTTTAGCCTAGTCTCAAAACGCCAAAAGGCGTACAGCACAAAGACAATGCACTATCAGAGTAATGAGGGCTCAGGGTGAGTATCTACATAATGGGACCTCCTTTGCCAGTACCAAAATATGAGAATAGGTTTTCCCCTTTTTTCTCACAACAAAACAGGTGTTAAGATATTCTTAGTTTTTTCGGTAAAGTCACGTTGAAAGGAAACAACATTTATTTTATTATTTTGTTGTTTCTCTTCAACGTGACTTTACCGAAAAAACTAAGAATATGAATTACTGCAGTCACGAAAGCTTTAAATCAAAATTTAGGTGTTAAGATGTTAAAACACCAAACTGAAACCTTTTACAAGGAATCATGTCTGACCACAAGTATTGTGGTTAATGCTGGTATGACTCCTTGTAAAAGGTTTCCGTTTGGTGTTTTAACATCTTAACACCTGTTTTGTTGCCAGAAAAAAGGGGAAAACCTATTCTCATATTTTGGTACTGGCAAAGGAGGTCCCATGATGGCATTGACCATGATGATGACCTCTTTACCTTGACCTTCATGAATAATTAAACAGGCCTGCTGATTGAAATACCATATACAGATTCATGAAATGTAGCAAATCGTTGTCAAGCAGTAAGAGCTGCATATGTCTTTGGTTCACAGGGTGGCTTTGTGGCGGTATTGTGACAATTCAGAGAAGTTCGGTTGGAAGCATGGCCCAGCAGAAGATCATCTACACTCTGCCCACCGTGCGGTTCATCTCCGTCACCAACCTCTGCTACTTTATTGATGGCTTGACCGCAGTTCTGCTGTGGATCCTGGGTGATATATTTATTTTAAAAATCTGAATGGAATGCCCCCTAGCGCCGAGCCTATTTGTCCAGTTATGACTAGTTTTCAGCACAACCTGCTTATTTATAGAGCGCCTACTGTCATGATTACTAAAATATGACGTTGCACAACATACGAGTCACGTTATAGTCATGCAGAACCGGCGGTGACACAGTTGGCAGAGCGATCTGAAAGGTTGCGAGTTCACATCTTGATTTGGATTCAACTCAGCCCATAACACCGGTAGAATTAATAAAATGAATGGTAATTATTTTACAATAATTAACAGTTTTTTTTGTTAATCCACTGACTGGTTGAAGGCCTGCCCTCCACTGTGACGGCCATGGATAATGATTGACCATACTTCACCCAGCTGGTACGTATAGGTGCCCAAGACCGATTCAGATTTCACTCGCCACTGATGTTAGCCAAGTCCCGGAATAAACTCAGGCTGCCAGTTTCAAAGTGCAATTCATGAACCACTGCACCACTACTCCACCCATGATTAGACTCGGTATCAGAAATGGTATTTTAAAAATCGTCACTTGCTAACCACCACTCGCCCGACCTTGCCTAGATACCTGTCCAGTGAAGATGCTGGATAGATTGCAAAACGCATTCATTGAAAATGTAGACAAAAGATGATGTTCTGTATTGTATGCCCTGCTGCAATAGCCTCTGCTGCATGCCACGTTAGCCCACTGCCTATAGCAACCTGTCATGCTTCGTGGTCACCCATTCAAGTAATTATCTAGGCTCAATCCTCCTCATCGTCCAAGATCTGTCGTGATTGGATGTGTTTGAGTGATTTGGTCGAAGGCAAAATACAAAATAAAAACGTGTAGATATGTTTCCTGGCCTTGATCAGATAATTTATTATGGAGGTTTCATTGAGTTGGTATCTGTCCCCATCAATTGCACAATCCTTTTCTGCACATGCAAACAGGCCTTGGCACAGGACCGTGGCTCTGGACAGTTCTGGCACAGGTCCCAGCTCAGCCAAGGATCAGGAGACGTTCAACGTGGCACGGAAACACGGGACACATTGACCACCTCCCAGTCCAGAAACGGTCAAATTTAGACCATTGGTCAGAAACAAAAATAACAAGAAGTGACATTTTTTTTCGAATTCGGTAAACAGCTCAATGTTTAAAGAGCTGCAATGCACATGAACAAGAGACGGTCCTTAATACATAACGTCACGAAGCAATCCTTTAAAGAGCCGCATGTAGTTCCGCAGCTGCAGGTTGTCGATCCCTGAATTAGATTATGTGCAGTCCACTGATTACTTAAAATGATATCAAGTAATCAGGGCCTCTTGCCCTTTTCCCTCGTCTTCCCCCCACTCCCCTTTAAAAAAATACCATGTACCCGATCGTCGCCCCCACGTGAATAGGTCAGTGAAGCCAACCACCTTACCTTTTCACTCCACCGAGGGACCTGGCCTTGGGCTTGTCGTTCAAGGAATATCTGTACCCTCCCTCCCCATCACTTGCCCTTTGTACCAGGCTCTTGTATAATTGTAGAAACAAATATGAATCAAGGCTCAATTTCAATCGAGTCTGGATCAGTGACTTGGAAAGTGTTTCCGCACCCAGCACACAACATCCTTCATACCTCTCACAATGGTTATGGCCACTAGTCACATTATAATAAAACATTTAATTTATCCTGGAGAAATCCGATGAACTATGAAGTTATTTTTCACAGATCTCCAGGAGGGGCGAGTCATAAAGTTACGATAAACAATAAAAAACGCCAGACGTGCGCAACGTTTAGGAAATGTAAGCAAATCACTAAAAATAAATGTACTAAAACTAAATGCCTACTCCAGTCTGTTAGTGACCAAAAAAAAATCAAAATCACTTTAGAGAGGTTGACACTGTGCAAGTGAGTTGTTTGAGGGCTATCCGAGCTATCGACTGTACGCCACATGTACTCTTCACACTGGTTTTGCACCGCAGGTCAAATTGACTTGTTCTTAAAACCCAGCGATAAGGATGGAAAAATGTTTCCGTGAAGTTTTTTTTTAAAACAATGTTAAGGCAAAAACATTGGCAGGAAACGCTGTCGAGAAACTCTCTTGAGCAGCTTGTACAGTGACATGATCGATGACTGCATCACACGATCGATGCGTCATGCTCACAGAGTATCCTCATTTACCAAAAGTGAATGTTTTTGAGACCGATTCTCAAAGTAGAAACTCCTGGGCCTCTCGGGGTAAAACAACGCCTTTTCTTTGCTTCTACAAACGCAGAAACATCTGCCATTCATTAACATTTTTACCGCAATGATATTTCGATTCATTCTCAAGAGTATCACTTCCCAGCAGAGTCAACTGTAACTGTGCTGTGGGGTCGTTAACAGGAGGTCCCGACCACTACTTGGAGAATGACATCCTGCACTGGTCGTTCGCGACGTCCACTTTCGACATGGCGGGGCTGTCAGCCTTGAAGACATGCCTCCTTATCGGCCTGTTTATGGCGCTTGAGCATGCGGCGCTGAAGCAGTTGGATCAGCCCGATGATCTGACGTTGGCACGGCGAAGAAAGACCCTTCAAGTTGTTTGTGGGTTCCTGGCCTTGATGTGGCTCTCCTACACGGTGGCTAAGGGAGCAGTCGTTCTAAAAAGTGGCAGCTACAAGCACGTGAGTAAAAGCCTGCTTTCGTAGGTGCACTGCTCCCCTGTGGTGGCCCGGGTGGCTCAGGCGTAAGGCTCTAAAATGTCTGGGAGGCTCAACCAGGACACATGATGTGTGCTCGCAGCCCTGCCCAATTTTGACATAGTCGCACCAACTCAACCATCATAATAATAAACTCAGTTTTCTATAGCACAATTTGCACAAGGCCTCAAAGCGCTTAATAAAAACTGAAAACTTAACACCATCAATAACACTACTTTGTGTGACCTTAGAAGAAAAGTGTATCATAGGTGACGTTTCAGGCAATCGCCCTTCTTCTTAGCACATATATTAGTCCCAACTAGCAATTGGCCTCTAGGATTGCAGTGATATTGTTACAGACGAAACGATTTGATATGAAATTTCACAAAATGATCGTTATCACAAAATCAGTTTCCCATAAATTTGTCGTTGTGTTTCGCTGTTTTTGTTGTATTGTTTTTGTGCTTTGCTATACAGTTCTTCAAGTATGAATGAGGATTATTTTTAAAGATTTTCAACTGCAGTTCACTCAATAATCCAGCCATGAGTCTTGCTAACAGTTTAAAAGCCTTTGTGACTAACTTAAAAAGAGCGTTTCTCAACTTTTTAAAACATTTACATATTTACCTGTTTCAATTTTTTTTTAATCTGCTGTGAAGAGGTGCCATTGCCGCAGAACACCACTTACATATATATTTTTTCTTTAATGTCACAGTGTTTATGATGAATGTGTAGAATTTGTATTGTTAATTGTGCTTGTGCACTACTGCCAATGCAGCAGCACCACCAAATCATTTGTATAAATATTAGTATGACTGAACTGGCCGATGTGTTTTATTTTTATTTTCAGATGCCTCTGACATTCCACATTATGCTCATCAGTTCCTTTGCGTTCAGCTTATTTGAGTTTGTCCTGAACATTCTTTGCCACAGGTGAGACAGTCAGACATCTAATCTTCAAAGCCAATGATATTTGCAATCAATAGCCAAGAGGGCATCCAGTCATTTCATCAATCTATAGGACAATTTGACTCGGGCCAGCTTTAATGTAGAAACAAAAAAAAGGCTGTTGCCATTCTTGCAAAACTTAAAATAGCAGACAAATAATATCTTCGTTGTTGATTTTTGGGGGTCATGCCAAAACGTTTGTCTAGTACGGGCAAGTGGATTATAATAAAGCGAGTCCTCTATTTCCCATGCTCATTTATGTTGTTTCACGATAACATCAGCCAACGAATTAGGGGATGTAATTTGATTTAAAAATGCATCGATTCACTTAAATGTTTTGATGTTGTTGAAAATTTTCAAGAACGCACTACTGTAGCTTGGGCAGTTTACATCGCCATACTGTACTGTACTACCCTCTCTAAATGCAATCTCCACTGCCATCTCTGGTGAGTACTCTGTACTGTATTCAATTATTTTATTTAGGGACCGTACTTATAACGAAACGATGTATAACGGGGAATTTTCTTACCATTAATATAATGGGAAATGTGGGGGAGGGGATCGGGACAGCGTAAACATTGCCTCTGTGCTGCAAAGTTGCGGGCAATTTCTCCCATAAGAAACCACGGAATAAGGTAGGTATAGAGACGGTAACCTCGGGAAATGTTGTGCTTCATACCTAGCAACCAAAATATATACCGTACCTGTAATATACTATACAACACATAATGTACACATTAAAACTAATTCTGAGTTCAAGGACCTTTAAACAGCATTTATACTTACGGTACTACGCTTTACCACTGCCATTTTAACATCGAGCGTAATGCGAGTGCTGTTTTTGTATCATACTCACCACCTGCACTGTCACCTTCAATGTGCACTACGCTTGTTGTTCGTTGTTGAAGGGTTGAATCGATATTTTGCGCTAAAGTCCAAGCCGATTACAATGAGCGCTCACTACGTACAACGTGAGAGAACATGATGGGACTGAGAAGCAGCAGACAGGATGCTGGGGATAGATCCTTAAATGGCGGTGCATTGCACGAAATAAAGTTTGTACGTTTTCTATACTAAGCTGAACTGAGTCGAAACGACGTAACGACGTATGTGCGGGGAAATCTTACGTTGGGTCCCTCAAAAAGTCAGCGACGTGAGTGCGTAACAACGGATATCGCGGACCCCTTGTATAACGTCTTTTTGAGTATCTTTTCTCTCTTCTTAGCACTTATTTAATATTGTTTCTGTAAATTTGTAACAAATAATTATCCAAAGGAACGTATTCTAAATTTACATCATTAAGTCAATGGTAAACTAGGTTTCAACTTATGGTGTTTTGCCGAATGCCGCATGTTCCAGCGATGCATCTCCAATGTAAATATAGAACTTACCATAATAATATTGGAGTTATCGTGATAATCAGGTCAGTGGGAATCATTGCAGAGCCATTCACAGCACTGCCGCAATATGGAAAAATATTGTACGATCCATGGTCATTATATCATCCATTGCATTTTTATTAGACTAACGTGATAGATTTTTTATCATTTAATTGCCCTTAAATATTAAATTTCCCGTCCATATATCTACAAAATAATCATGATTAACGTTCACAACAATAGTAAAAAAACCTATATATATTTTTCCCATTTGATTAGTACTCAGATTAATTCACTGCATAATGATTCTATGACAATAATTTCCATAGTTAATTTGATTTCTTAATAAATTCTCGTGTAACTGATACCGTCTGCGTTACATATATCCCGGGCGGTAAAGTTTTCATAATTAGAATACTCTTAGCTGGCTTAAGTTTAGTGAATAGCATTCAAAGGGCTTGAGTGATCTTTCATTACACTGGAAGTACAGGCAAGCAGAAAGAAAAAAATTCAAAGTTAAGGAAAACTGATATCGCTATTGGAGCACGAGGTCAGTCACTCGGTGCAATCTAACTGTCTTGTATATCGTCTATTTACGGAGTGTTGAATCACATGTACAGCACTTTTTGATCTTTCAATAAAAGGTGCAGTGTAACTATACATTATTACAATCGTCATATCGTGACATTTTTTCATGGTTTCATGAAAATTGACATTTCGGTAACCCGAATAGCAACAACACAGACTGATATTTAGTCAGATCAGGCTAGCTCTGATCTGACTAAATATTCTTCAAATTAAGTTTTGAATGGGAGAGGCAGTCAGAGTACCGAAAGACAACTCATCACGCATACCAGGGGATGTCGCTCGGAGATCCACACAGAGACAGATTCACCAATCCACTTGCTGCACTGATAACATCTGGCTCCCTTGCAGTCAAGTGGATTTGGGAGATTCACAAATCTGTGTGATCCGCCAACCATTGCATCCAAAGCGCCGGGTCACAGCAGGTGCGCACCACTACATCCGGCTTTGTTTGCGAATGTTTATCTTATTTTATGAATTGGCTGTTATCGGGTAAAAGTTGTCAATGATTCTTCGCAGATTCCTGAACAAGCTGGAATTGCTCAGAATTATTCACAAGGTGGAGGACACACAGGAGGAGGAAGATAAGAGGAAAAAGAACGTTGGTATCTGCAGGGTTCTGTCTCTGGCCAAAGAGGTTTGTGATGATGAACCTACCAAACATCCCAGTTTGGGCAAGACAGTCCCTGTGGTTTCTGAAAGGCTGTTCCGGTCTGCCCATGAAGAATTTGCAAAAATCGTGCGTGACTCCTGATGCAGGCAAAGGGCAGAGCTACCTGTGTAGTGGGAAGGGCTGGCGGAGGAGTGGGAGGTCGAGGGATGGCTCCCTATTGGTCAACCATGTGTTGTATGCTTATGATCTGGTGATGCTGCTCACTCAGAGGAGGAGTTGGGGGCACTGCTGCAGAACCTGGAGTGTGGCACTAAGAGGTGGGGTCTTACCATCAGTCCCACCAAAACTAAGCACCTGCCTGGGTATTTTATGCCACCAACCACTCCACCCCTCAGCTCCGTATTGGTGATGGAGCAGTAGTGGAGAGAGTGGAGAGTTTCTGTTGCACACTCGAAATGAAGGACGTTGGCAGGTGCTCCAAATCGAGGGCAAACACATTTATTGTGGTAATCTGTAAAATGCAACAGCACGTGTATCACACACAGCAATTTCCAACCGAGTCGCCATTAACCACGTGACTGGTGAACAGGTCAGGCTACTCAATAACCCTGCCAGCCACCTACAGGCCCGACTCAGTATTGCATGCTGGTGTACACGTGCATTGTACTGCACGGCATAAGGACCTTCACAAAACTACACTTTACTCCATTGCTGCACGAGGAAATAATTAAAAGAGTGGTCCATTGCCAATATGCCACATTTCCCATACCTGGTCAGTGTGCTTATGTCCAGCTCCAGTTTGACAGCAGAGGTCTCACTCTGAATCAGTCGGGTGGCATTATCTTTTCATTGGCTGCGTAATGCTGTGGGGAAGCAACCTGGTCTGTCGCTATGCACGAAGCTTCATGTCTTCTCGGCCACAGTCATGGCCTCCCTTCTCTATACTTGTGAAACGTGGACCCCTCTAATGTAACATCTGTGCTGGTTACAATCATTCAGGCTGGCCTGCCTACAATCCATCCTGGGTTTAACCAGGCTGTATTGTGTGAGGAGCTCACAAATCCTTGAAATATCTGCAAACATACCCATCAGTAAGATACTATCGCAGGCAAAGCTGCATTGGCTGGGTCATGTAGCCTGCATGCCCAGCCACCGAATGCCCAAGCAGCTTTTGTTTGGCCGCATAAAGGGGGCTAAGCGGGCGCGGCACGGGCTAGAGAAGAGATGGAGTGACGTGATACAGGAGGACGTGGAGCTGAGTGGACTTGCCGATGACTAGTACCAGCGGTGTCAAGATCGGCCTCTATGGAGGAGGCTCGTGAAAGACGCTACTGGGTAATTGGAGGCATTCGCCCTCCAACAACAATGGAGGGCAGATGAGCAACGTTCAGAGCAATGAGTGGAGCACCTGGCGGCTAAAATACAGAAAGTTGGCACAGTAGGGGTACCGCCGGTGCATCTACCAGTAATCTCAGTCGGCCAACCCATGGCAGCTGGGTCTCTTCCGAGACCTCCTGTAAGCGAGCCTTCGACACTTCACGTGGCCTCAAAGTGCACCTGGCCTGGCACAGTCGCCATTGTGATGTCACTGTCACTTAGTGGTGAATGGCGGGTATTGGTATTGGAGTGGGTGGGGGGTGGGGCTCGTGACCCCCATCTGCTATGTTCCTCTGTAACCCCTGTCTAATATGTTGCTGGATGGCCCCTGTCTGCTTAGTTGCTCTGTGACCTCTGTCTGCTACGGTGCTCTGTGCAATATTCCTGTGTGGCCTGCTGTCTCCGGGTGTGTCTGACAGGAGACCGGTATTGTGGTCCTGGGAATGATAGCCCTCCTAGGCTCCAGTGGCACTCAAATGGTTTCCCCAGTCTTTTTTGGCAAGGTCATCGATGCTGCCAGGAACTCCATGAGTGAGTGACACCTCTGTACCCGTGTACCCACACCGCTGACGAGACTAGGAAAGTTGTAAACCAGGGGTCGGGAACCTATGGCTCGCGAGCCAGATGTGGCTCTTTTGATGATTGCATATGGCTCGCAGATAAAACAAAATATTCTCACTTGTTTTAATCCATCCATCGATTTTTCACTGCGCATGTCCTGTTCAGGGCTGCAGGAGCAATTGTCCATTATTTTAATTGGATGATACTGGCCTACGTTTGCCGTTGCTGGGTAAAACAGGTAAACGCCCCCTTTTGAATCAGTCTGAGACTGCGTCTGCTCGGTCATTAGCTCAAAGCTAACCCTTTGACGAAGAAGATGGCGAAAAGAAAAAAAGACGACGAGTATCGTACATTTCAGGACGAATGGACCGAAGAATTCGCCTTTGTGGAGAGAGCGGGTTCTGCGGTGTGTCTAATTTGCAATGACAAAATTACATCGTTGAAACGGTCGAATGTAAAGCGGCACTTCGGCACGCGCCACGCTACCTTTGCATCAAAATACCCTGCGGGAGACAGCAGAAAGAAAGCGTGCCAAGAGCTTCTGAGCAGGGTGCAAGCTAGCCAGCAGCAACTCCGCGTATGGACCCGGCAAGGTGACTATAATTCGGCTAGCTTTGCTGGTTCTTTAGCAATAGTGAGGAACGGAAAACCATTCACAGATGGCGAGTATGCTAAAACGTTCATGCTGGATGTAGCCAATGAACTTTTTGATGATCTTCCGAACAAAGACAAGATAATCAAACGGATACAAGACATGCCTCTGTCGGCAAGAACTGTTCATGATCGTACCATCGTGATGGCAAACAAAGTGGAGGAAACGCAAGTGAAGGACATAAATGCAGCGCCGTTCTTTTCTCTGGCTTTGGATGAGTCAACAGACGTGAGCCATTTGTCGCAGTTCAGCGTGATTGCAAGATATGCTGTTGGTGACACACTGCGCGAAGAAAGTCTTGCTGTTCTGCCATTAAAAGGGTCCACAAGAGGTGAGGATTTATTCAAGTCTTTCATGGAGTTTGCTCAAGAAAAAAGTCTACCTATGGATAAACTTCTCTCAGTGTGTACTGATGGTGCTCCGTGTATGGTGGGGAAAAACAAAGGATTTGTGGCGCTTCTCCGTGAACATGAAAATAGACCCATCCTAAGTTTCCATTGCATTATACACCAGGAGGCACTTTGTGCTCAGATGTGTGACAGGCAGTTTGGCGAAGTGATGTCGCTGGTCATTCGTGTGATCAACTTTATTGTTGCCCGAGCCTTAAATGATCGCCAGTTTAAAACACTGCTGGATGAAGTTGTAAATAACTATCCTGGTCTGCTTTTGCACAGCAATGTGCGTTGGTTGTCAAGAGGGAAGGTGCTTAGCCGTTTTGCGGCTTGCCTGAACGAAATCCGGACTTTCCTTGAAATGAAAGGCGTCGGGCATCCTGAGCTAGCCGACACCGAGTGGCTCCTCAAGTTTTACTATCTCGTAGATCTGACTGAACATCTGAACCAGCTCAACGTGAAAATGCAAGGCATTGGAAATACAGTGTTATCCCTTCAACAAGCTGTATTTGCTTTTGAAAACAAGCTGGAGCTTTTCATCACGGATCTTGAAACAGGTCGTTTACTACATTTTGAAAAACTGAGCCAATTTAAAGATGCATGCACAGCAAGTGAGCCCATTCAAAACCTTGATCTCCACCAGCTAGCTGGTTGCACATCCAGTCTCCTACAGTCCTTCAAAGCACGCTTTGGAGAATTTCGTGAGCACACTCGTCTTTTTAAGTTCATCACCCATCCAAACGAGTGTTCACTGAACACAGCCGACCTGAATTACATCCCTGGTGTCTCCGTCAGAGATTTTGAAGCAGAAGTGGCTGACCTGAAGGCCTCAGACATGTGGGTGAATAAGTTCAAGTCACTGAATGAAGATTTGGAAAGAATCACACGACAGAAAGCGGAGTTGGCGAGCAAGCACATGTGGACAGAAATGAAAAAACTCCAACCCGAAGACCAGCTGATTCTCAAAACTTGGAACGCGCTTCCTGTCACATACCACACACTGCAGCGTGTGAGTATTGCTGTATTGACCATGTTTGGATCTACGTATGCATGTGAGCAGTCATTCTCACATCTTAAAAACATCAAGTCCAACCTACGATCACGTTTAACGGATGAAAGCCTCAACGCTTGCATGAAGCTTAACCTCACCAAGTACCAACCCGACTACAAAGACATCAGCAAATCCATGCAGCACCAGAAGTCGCATTAATGGTGAGTGTTATAACAACGTGAGTGTTATAATTATTTAAAAGAATAAATTCAGAGGCTTATTATACTGACATTTAGTTGAATTCACTTTTAAAATATATTATATGGCTCTCACTGAAATAAATTTCCAAATGTTTTGCTTTCATGGCTCTCTTAGTCAAAAAGGTTCCCGACCCCTGTTGTAAACAGTCACATCTTGTAAACAAGGCAGCCTTGCAGAACGGCTTTCGACGTTTTTCCCTCCTCGTTGATGAAAAAAAAACGAGCGGAACTTGATGGGAAGTCGAACCGTGGTCATCCGATGGGGAGGTTGACCAACTGTCAAACGAATGGGAAGTTTCTTTTTCTGACTCACAAAAAGTGATGAGGGTCACCGCATTGCTCACTTACGCAGGGAGGCACTTTGAATCTCAGCTGTTGGGCATTGTCGGACATTGTAGATTAAACAACACGCAAAGGAAGTGCAGCATTGCGTGCACAAAATAGCTCTCGGCCGTATCCAGATGACCAGCTCAAACGAACTGAAAGTGTGACCTTGACATTGTGCTTGTGACTGCTTGTGTTACGTGCGCTTTCCTCTACTCGCCTGCCAGACGAGCTGAACGAAGCCATCTTCATCCTCTTCGGCATCTACGTGGGTGGGGCTCTCTGCTCATTTGTGCGTTCGTACCTCTTCACATTCGCCGGCCAGCGGATGGTGGCGCGCCTGCGTACGCGGCTGTTCGAGGCCGTCATGGCCCAGGAGGTGGCCTTCTTTGATGAGAACAGGTGACAGGCCAATGCTGGGAGTTGTCAGCCTGGAACTTCACGCTTCTCACCCACAGCCATAAATGCGACCACATCAACCCAATCCTCAGATCCCTTCGTTGGCTTCCAGTTTAGATAAAATATCGCCCTTTCAGAATCTGCGTTGTCTTGTCGTCTCCTACGTTTACCATCTCCATCTTGATTTTCTCCTCTCCCCGTGCCTTCTGCTTCAGCAAGGTCTTCTTTTAAAACCCACAGTTGAAGCCACTTCATAGGGTGGTCACTCCTTCTCCGCTGCTGCTCTTGAATCTGAAATTCTCTCCCATAGGCAGTCTGGCATTCACGATCTTTCTCTTCTCCACCTATGACTCATCCATTACGCCAGTCGTCTCATATCATACGCTTCTCCTGGCTTTCTCCCTCATCCTATGATTCTCCTCTTTCTAGTGCTTGTGCTTCCTTCACTGCTGTACTATGTCTCAAGATGCGATTGGCTTTGGATACTGTGTAAGTTGGATACCTTACTGTGTTATGTTCGATGCCCATAAAGCATCTCAGGAGTTCCGTCCATGTGCTGTCACTGCCACAGAACCGGCGAGATCACCAACCGCCTCTCCAACGACACCCAAGTGATACAGAACGCCGTCACAGTACGTTCACAGCCACACACAGAGCACCTCTGCGAGTGGTCCATGAACACGTGCAGTCCTTGTTGTCACGCTCTGATTCCTGCAATGATGGACTCGGTGTGGCGCTATGATTCCTGCCGCGATGGACTCTGCGTGATGCTGTTATTCCTGGCATGATGGACTCGGTGTGACACCCTGATTCCTGCCGTGACGGACTCGGTGTGACGCCGGGATGGACTTGGTGTGACACTGTGTATCCCTGCAGGTGAACATCTCCATGCTGGTGCGGTACGCGGTGCAGATCCTGGGCTCACTCGTCGTGATGTTTGTGCTGAGCCCCGCGCTCTGCGGGGTCCTCATCGCATCCGTGCCCTTCGTTGCCATCGGAGCCGTGCAGTACGGTGAGTTCAGCCACGCAATTATTTCGGTAAATTTATGCCGTAACGCCCTCCGCCACTCGACATACAGCCTTCCCCAAGCCGTGGGTTGGTGGACTACCCTACGGTCCAGAGGGCTCCGTCATTGGTTGTTCTTGCGAGTTGTCACACACCGAGACCTGTCCAAGCACCCGTGTAAACAATCAAAGTTGTTCTCGTTCGGCCTCGGCCTCACCTTCTTGGGACTAAGCCTTGAATTACCATGCTTGACATAGCCAAGCATTTTAATTTGTTTGGCTCTGTCGGTGGTGGAGTGTTTGTGATTCAAGCAGGTTTTCACATGCGGTGAGTTGATGGTCTCAGCCAGGTCACCAATGACAGCACATATAAACCGTCACATCGAGTTTGGTTTATGCACTTCATTTGGCTAAATTCCAGCTATGAGAATGAAAAATATCAGCTGGACTATCAGGTGACAAACATGGGACAGTGCTGCCCCCAACTGCATGGACGAGAGGTCATTTGAAAGGATCTCAGAGGTAGCTCTGTGATGTCCGCTTTAGTGGTTTTTAACACACTGCGTTGCATTGCTCTGTGGGAGATCTGAATAGATTCTGCTTCTTATGACAATGCCCATAGAACAATCAGGATAACATTGTGAGAAAGGATTTGTGAAAAATGTTAATCGATAAAATGATGCATCATGAGTCACCCTGCTTGTGACTCCCCGCAGAGCCTTTAACAGACTGTTGATGCAAGTCCTGTGGATAGCCAACACCACACCCGGCCGCATTTGTCTACCGAGTACTGATGTTTACACACCGCATCAGCTACTCATTTAAGGCCGAGTCGAGCTAGGGGAAGCCGAGGACCGATTCAAAACATTTACCCCTGGTTATTGGTCGTGAGCAAGAACCGAACTCGGGTTGCCGGGTTCATAACGCATCTTTGCTAACCACTACGCTACCGCCCTCCCCCACGCCTGCTCGCATGCACGCACGCACACACGGACACATGGATGTGCGTACGCACTGCAGGGAACTTTGTGAAGCGGCTACGCAAGAACTTTCAAGATGAATTGGCGTCGGCAGGCAGCACGGCGGAGGAGGCCGTGTCCAGCGTGCGCACGGTGCGTGCGTTCTGCGGGGAGGGACGCATGAGTGCGCAGTACGACAGCGATGTGCAGCGCAGCTTCAACATCGGACGCAAGATCGCGTTGGCGGAAGGTGCGTGGCCGCCGCTGCCATCGCCACGGCCCAATCACAAGCACCGCACCTAGCCACGCATCTGTCTCTCTCCCTCTTGGGATTTAAGACCACGGCAAAGCCCACACAGCGACGTTGTCCCCAGCAGTGGAGCAATTTTTCGTGAATGCAGCCCTTTGTCAATCCACTGATAGATAATTGACATGCCGTGTCAATTATCTTAGCCGTTTCACCATAACTTCACCACGCTTGTAGTGTGTGTTGATGGAATTGATCACAGTGTGGGGACCGCTATGCCATCACTCACCCTGGAGCACAGCTCTGTGATGTTGAAAAGTTGAATTACAGTCTCTGCCCATGCGTGTCCACCCCCATCATTACAGCGTTCGCACACCACTCTGCAGCACAACCTCCCAGCAGCCACCTCTCCACACACCCAGACCCAAGGCCCCTGTCTCTCCCTCTACACACACCCAGACCCAAGGCCCCTGTCTCTCCCTCTACACACACCCAGACCCAAGGCCCCTGTCTCTCCCTCTACACACACCCAGACCCAAGGCCCCTGTCTCTCCCTCTACACACACCCAGACCCAAGGCCCCTGTCTCTCCCTCTACACACACCCAGACCCAAGGCCCCTGTCTCTCCCTCTACACACACCCAGACCCAAGGCCCTTGTCTCTCTCCCTCGACACACACCCAGACCCAAGGCCCCTGTCTCTCCATCTACACACACCCAGAACCAAGGCCCCTGTCTCTCTCTCTGTACACACACCCAGACCCAAGGCCCCTGTCTCTCCCTCTAGACACACCCAGACCCAAGGCCCCTGTCTCTCCCTCTACACACACCCAGACCCAAGGCCCTTCTCTCTCCCCCTCGACACACACCCAGAACCAAGGCCCCTGTCTCTCCCTCTACACACACCCAGACCCATGGCCCCTGTCTCTCCCTCTACACACACCCAGACCCAAGGCCCCTGTCTCTCCCTCTACACACACCCAGACCCAAGGCCCTTGTCTCTCTCCCTCGACACACACCCAGAACCAAGGCCCCTGTCTCTCTCTCTCTCTCTACACACACCCAGACCCAAGGCCCCTGTCTCTCCCTCTACACACACCCAGACCCAAGGCCCCTGTCTCTCCGTCTACACACACCCAGACCCAAGGCCCCTGTCTCTCCCTCTACACACACCCAGACCCAAGGCCCCTGTCTCTCCATCTACACACACCCAGACCCAAGGCCCCTGTCTCTCCCTCTACACACACCCAGACCCATGGCCCCTGACTCTCCCTCTACACACTCCCACACCCATGGCCCCTGTCTCTCCCTCTACACACACCTAGACCCAAGGCCCCTGTGTCTCCGTCTACACACACCCAGACCCAAGGCCCCTGTCTCTCCCTCTACACACACCCAGAACCAAGGCCCCTGTCTATCCCTCTACACACTCCCAGACCCAAGGCCATTGTCTCTCCCTCTACACACTCCCAGACCCATGGCCCCTGTCTCTCCCTCTACACACACCCAGACCCATGGCCCCTGTCTCTCCCTCTGCACACACCCACACCCATGGCCCCTGTCTCTCCCTCTACACACTCCCACACCCATGGCCCCTGTCTCTCCCTCTACACACAACCAGACCCATGGCCCCTGTCTCTCCCTCTACACACACCCAGACCCAAGGCCCCTGTCTCTCCCTCTACACACTCCCAGACCCAAGGCCATTGTCTCTCCCTCTACACACTTCCAGACCCATGGCCCCTGTCTCTCCCTCTACACACACCCAGACCCAAGGCCCCTGTCTCTCCCTCTACACACACCCAGAACCAAGGCCCCTGTCTCTCCCTCTACACACTCCCAGACCCAAGGCCATTGTCTCTCCCTCTACACACTCCCAGACCCATGGCCCCTGTCTCTCCCTCTACACACACCCAGACCCATGGCCCCTGTCTCTCCCTCTACACACACCCACACCCATGGCCCCTGTCTCTCCCTCTACACACTCCCAGACCCATGGCCCCTGTCTCTCCCTCTACACACAACCAGACCCATGGCCCCTGTCTCTCCCTCTACACACACCCAGACCCAAGGCCCCTGTCTCTCACTCTACACACTCCCAGACCCAAGGCCATTGTCTCTCCCTCTACACACTTCCAGACCCATGGCCCCTGTCTCTCCCTCTACACACACCCAGACCCAAGGCCCATGTCTCTCCCTCTACACACACCCAGAACCAAGGCCCCTGTCTTTCCCTCTACACACACCCAGACCCAAGGCTCCTGTCTCTCCCTCTACACACACCCAGACCCAAGGCCCCTGTCTCTCCCTCGACACACACCCAGACCCAAGGCCCTTGTCTCTCCCTCTACACACACCTAGACCCAAGGCCCCTGTCTCTCCCTCTACACACACCCAGACCCAAGGCCCCTGTCTCTCCCTCTACACACACCCAGACCCAAGGCCCCTGTCTCTCCCTCTACACACACCCAGAACCAAGGCCCCTGTCTCTCTCCCTCTACACACACCCAGACCCAAGGCCCCTGTCTCTCCCTCTACACACACCCAGAGCCAAGGCCCCTGTCTCTCTCCCTCTACACACACCCAGACCCAAGGCCCCTGTCTCTCTCCCTCTACACACACCCAGAACCAAGGCCCCTGTCTCTCCCTCTACACACACCCAGAACCAAGGCCCTTGTCTCTCCCTCTACACACACCCAGAACCAAGGCCCCTGTCTCTCCCTCTACACACACCCAGACCCAAGGCCCCTGTCTCTCCATCTACACACACCCAGACCCAAGGCCCCTGTCTCTCCCTCTACACACACCCAGACCCATGGCCCCTGACTCTCCCTCTACACACTCCCACACCCATGGCCCCTGTCTCTCCCTCTACACACACCTAGACCCAAGGCCCCTGTCTCTCCGTCTACACACACCCAGACCCAAGGCCCCTGTCTCTCCCTCTACACACACCCAGAACCAAGGCCCCTGTCTATCCCTCTACACACTCCCAGACCCAAGGCCATTGTCTCTCCCTCTACACACTCCCAGACCCATGGCCCCTGTCTCTCCCTCTACACACACCCAGACCCATGGCCCCTGTCTCTCCCTCTGCACACACCCACCCCCATGGCCCCTGTCTCTCCCTCTACACACTCCCACACCCATGGCCCCTGTCTCTCCCTCTACACACAACCAGACCCATGGCCCCTGTCTCTCCCTCTACACACACCCAGACCCAAGGCCCCTGTCTCTCCCTCTACACACTCCCAGACCCAAGGCCATTGTCTCTCCCTCTACACACTTCCAGACCCATGGCCCCTGTCTCTCCCTCTACACACACCCAGACCCAAGGCCCCTGTCTCTCCCTCTACACACACCCAGAACCAAGGCCCCTGTCTCTCCCTCTACACACTCCCAGACCCAAGGCCATTGTCTCTCCCTCTACACACTCCCAGACCCATGGCCCCTGTCTCTCCCTCTACACACACCCAGACCCATGGCCCCTGTCTCTCCCTCTACACACACCCACACCCATGGCCCCTGTCTCTCCCTCTACACACTCCCACACCCATGGCCCCTGTCTCTCCCTCTACACACAACCAGACCCATGGCCCCTGTCTCTCCCTCTACACACACCCAGACCCAAGGCCCCTGTCTCTCACTCTACACACTCCCAGACCCAAGGCCATTGTCTCTCCCTCTACACACTTCCAGACCCATGGCCCCTGTCTCTCCCTCTACACACACCCAGACCCAAGGCCCATGTCTCTCCCTCTACACACACCCAGAACCAAGGCCCCTGTCTTTCCCTCTACACACACCCAGACCCAAGGCCCCTGTCTCTCCCTCTACACACACCCAGACCCAAGGCCCCTGTCTCTCCCTCGACACACACCCAGACCCAAGGCCCTTGTCTCTCCCTCTACACACACCTAGACCCAAGGCCCCTGTCTCTCCCTCTACACACACCCAGACCCAAGGCCCCTGTCTCTCCCTCTACACACACCCAGACCCAAGGCCCCTGTCTCTCCCTCTACACACACCCAGAACCAAGGCCCCTGTCTCTCTCCCTCTACACACACCCAGACCCAAGGCCCCTGTCTCTCCCTCTACACACACCCAGAGCCAAGGCCCCTGTCTCTCTCCCTCTACACACACCCAGACCCAAGGCCCCTGTCTCTCTCCCTCTACACACACCCAGAACCAAGGCCCCTGTCTCTCCCTCTACACACACCCAGAACCAAGGCCCTTGTCTCTCCCTCTACACACACCCAGAACCAAGGCCCTTGTCTCTCCCTCTACACACACCCAGACCCAAGGCCTCTATCTCTCCCTTGACACACACCCAGACCCATGGCCACTGTCTCTTCCTCTACACACACCCAGAACCAAGGCCCCTGTCTCTCCCTCGCACAGAGTTTGCCAGGTTTCCACGAAGGACTCTTTAGAGCTCTGCCCAAGGGATTCACTCAGTTCAATTATTTAAACAATGTCTCCCCTACATAACTCAAACTTATTTTTGTGCTCAACAATCTCCCATCCAATGCCCCTGACCATCGTCTGAAATTAATCAATCATCTTCAATTTGTATTCATTGTTTTTGTCTGATTTGTTTTATCCCCTACCATAAGTCATTGCTGGTTCCCTATCTTTACCAGATTGCTTGGCTATCCTTTATCACTCGTTAATAAATTTGAAAACATCTTAAGATATAGAGGGCTGCAGATTGTTGGCACCGGCTCACTGCATGGCTGCTGCCTTCCTGCTTCTCTACGGTTCCTGCCTTGCGACTCTTTGAGTCAATCTCTGTCTTCGAGAGTGAGAGAATACTGTGCGGGGCATTACAAGTCTCAATTATTATGATCAGGCCTTTGTGATGTCGCCAGTATTCCTACTTTGAGTTGTTCGAGGCTGTTAGGAGCTGACTGTTGAAAGGAAAAAAAAGCAATATAATGCACGAAGTCATTACGCGTCACCATTATGGTTATTTGGCTCGCATCTATATTCTCTAAATCTAAAATGTTTGTTGTGAAGTTACTTTGTCACAATATGTGTTGGAGTGTATTCACAATGTTGCCATTATGTTACTTCCCCTTAACTAGTGGATGATTGATCACCATCTGGCATTTCACTAGCTCTTATTTGCACGATCTGGTCATTGACATTGTTGTTTATTCGTGCAGTAATTCCCTGAGATTAAATCAAACAAAATAAATAAGCAGAAGATTTATCTCTGTCGGATATCTGCCTCTCCATGTAAAATACTAAAAGCATTTCTAGCATAACCCATGAGCTTTACGGCCTTCTGGGAGTTCATAACTTCAGTAGCATTGAATCAAAACAAGAAAACTCTGGACCAGGTTTCGGCATATGCTGTCTCATCAGCAGAGTAAGGTTTGCTTGACCGAGTGAGGTTGACAAACCCTTGCTTCGGTTACAATTGCTGTAGGTGGGCCGGGTTGAAGGGTGCCACCTCGAACAAGCCGAGAACAATCGCACAGGAAGAAAATGTTATATTAACAAACAAGTTGTGACTGAACTGTACAGAATTAATCAAAATAATAATCACATTCATGATGCTACCTTACAACAGTAATGTGTAGTCGGCTGAGCAGAGAGAGCGAGAAAGAGGATAGAGATATCTAGTGGCTTATCATTGGAGATTGTAGTTTACACTGCGGGGCCCTGAGAAAATCTGGGAGAGAAAAAATATCTAATGTCAAATGGCTCAGGATTTGACAGGCGCAGACGGCAGAACAATCCTGGATGTTACTTCGGAGCCTGGTTCGCAGAGGATGATGAAAGTTGTGTGCGTTTGTTGTCGCAGGTGCATTCAGCGGGCTTGTTGGAACAGTGGCACAGGTAAGGCGAGCCATTTGTCGCGTCAATAAACTCGAGACATTCGTCACTACTGCCTTAAAATACATAAATATATTTGACGTGCTACAGCACAGCCATCTAGAAGGTGATGTGCTACAAAGGTGTGCGGAGTGGTGGTACAGTGGCTAGTGCGCTGCGCTGCGAGTTGAATTACCACTGACGGCCAACATCAGTTGCGAATATTTTTTAACTGGTCCCGGGCCTCTGCTAGGTCAACCCAGCAGTCATATCTAAAGTCATATCTAAAGTTATATCTATAGTCATATCTAAAGTCATATCTAAAGTCACATCTAAAGTCACATCTAAAGTCGCATCTAAAGTCACATCTAAAGTCATATCTAAAGTCACATCTAAAGTTATATCTATAGTCATATCTAAAGTCATATCTAAAGTCACATCTAAAGTCACATCTAAAGTGATATCTATAGTCATATCTAAAGTCACATCTAAAGTCGCATCTAAAGTCATATCTAAAGTCATATCTAAAGTCATATCTAAAGTCATATATAAAGTCGCATCTAAAGTCGCATCTAAAGTCGCATCTAAAGTCGCATCTAAAGTCATATCTAAAGTTATATCTAAAGTCACATCTAAAGTCACATCTAAAGTCATATCTAAAGTCATATCTAAAGTCACATCTATAGTCACATCTATAGTCACATCTAAAGTCACATCTAAAGTCATATCTAAAGTTACATCTAAAGTCATATCTATAGTCACATCTAAAGTCACATCTAAAGTCATATCTAAAGTCACATCTATAGTCACATCTATAGTCATATCTAAAGTCACATCTAAAGTCATATCTAAAGTCACATCTAAAGTCACATCTAAAGTCACATCTATAGTCACATCTAAAGTCACATCTAAAGTCACATCTAAAGTCACATCTAAAGTCGCATCTAAAGTCACATCTAAAGTCACATCTAAAGTCATATCTATAGTCACATCTAAAGTCACATCTAAAGTCGCATCTAAAGTCACATCTAAAGTCACATCTAAAGTCACATCTAAAGTCACATCTAAAGTCGCATCTAAAGTCGCATCTAAAGTCACATCTAAAGTCACATCTAAAGTCACATCTAAAGTCACATCTATAGTCATATCTAAAGTCACATCTAAAGTCATATCTAAAGTCACATCTAAAGTCACATCTAAAGTCACATCTATAGTCACATCTAAAGTCACATCTAAAGTCATATCTATAGTCACATCTATAGTCACATCTATAGTCACATCTATAGTCACATCTAAAGTCATATCTAAAGTCATATCTAAAGTCATATATATAGTCACATCTAAAGTCATATCTAAAGTCATATCTAAAGTCGCATCTAAAGTCATATCTAAAGTCGCATCTAAAGTCACATCTATAGTCACATCTAAAGTCATATCTAAAGTCACATCTAAAGTCATATCTAAAGTCGCATCTAAAGTCATATCTAAAGTCATATCTAAAGTCATATCTAAAGTCATATCTAAAGTCACATCTAAAGTCACATCTAAAGTCACATCTAAAGTCACATCTAAAGTTATATCTAAAGTCATATCTAAAGTCACATCTAAAGTCACATCTAAAGTCATATCTAAAGTCATATCTAAAGTCATATCTAAAGTCATATCTAAAGTCACATCTAAAGTCATATCTAAAGTCATATCTAAAGTTATATCTAAAGTCACATCTAAAGTCACATCTAAAGTCACATCTAAAGTCACATCTAAAGTGACATCTAAAGTCACATCTAAAGTCACATCTAAAGTCACATCTAAAGTGACATCTAAAGTCACATCTAAAGTCATATCTAAAGTCATATCTAAAGTCACATCTAAAGTTATATCTAAAGTCATATCTAAAGTCATATCTAAAGTCATATCTATAGTGACATCTAAAGTTACATCTAAAGTCACATCTAAAGTCACATCTAAAGTCACATCTAAAGTCACATCTAAAGTCATATCTAAAGTCATATCTAAAGTCACATCTAAAGTTATATCTAAAGTCATATCTAAAGTCACATCTAAAGTCACATCTAAAGTCATATCTAAAGTCATATCTAAAGTCACATCGAAAGTTATATCTAAAGTCATATCTAAAGTCATATCTAAAGTCATATCTAAAGTCATATCTAAAGTCACATCTAAAGTCACATCTAAAGTCACATCTAAAGTCACATCTAAAGTTATATCTAAAGTCACATCTAAAGTCACATCTAAAGTCATATCTAAAGTCATATCTAAAGTCATATCTAAAGTCATATCTAAAGTCACATCTAAAGTCATATCTAAAGTCATATCTAAAGTTATATCTAAAGTCACATCTAAAGTCACATCTAAAGTCACATCTAAAGTCACATCTAAAGTGACATCTAAAGTCACATCTAAAGTCACATCTAAAGTCACATCTAAAGTGACATCTAAAGTCACATCTAAAGTCATATCTAAAGTCATATCTAAAGTCACATCTAAAGTCACATCTAAAGTCATATCTAAAGTCATATCTATAGTGACATCTAAAGTTACATCTAAAGTCACATCTAAAGTCACATCTAAAGTCACATCTAAAGTCACATCTAAAGTCATATCTAAAGTCATATCTAAAGTCACATCTAAAGTTATATCTAAAGTCATATCTAAAGTCACATCTAAAGTCACATCTAAAGTCATATCTAAAGTCATATCTAAAGTCACATCGAAAGTTATATCTAAAGTCATATCTAAAGTCATATCTAAAGTCATATCTAAAGTCATATCTAAAGTCATATCTAAAGTTATATCTAAAGTCACATCTAAAGTTATATCTAAAGTCACATCGAAAGTCACATCTAAAGTCACATCTAAAGTCACATCTAAAGTCACATCTAAAGTCATATCTAAAGTCACATCTATAGTCACATCTATAGTCACATCTATAGTCACATCTAAAGTCACATCTAAAGTCACATCTAAAGTCACATCTAAAGTCACATCTAAAGTCACATCTATAGTCACATCTATAGTCACATCTAAAGTCACATCTAAAGTCACATCTAAAGTCATATCTAAAGTCATGTCTAAAGTCACATCTGAAGTCACATCTGAAGTCACATCTGAAGTCAGATCTAAAGTCACATCTAAAGTCACATCTAAAGTCACATCTAAAGTTATATCTAAAGTCACATCTAAAGTTATATCTAAAGTCATATCTAAAGTCATATCTAAAGTTATATCTAAAGTCATATCTAAAGTTATATCTAAAGTCATATCTAAAGTCATATCTAAAGTCATATCTAAAGTCACATCTAAAGTCATATCTAAACCAGTCATCTGGACTTCCCTCTTCACCAACCATCACAAACCAGCAGAGTAAAGTATGGTCAGGGAACAACCATACCCCATAGCGTAAGGGGAGGGGTCTTTTGCGAATAAGATCGGCAGCTCAGCATTAGGATTCAAGCAAGCATGACGATTATCTGAACCGGTCCTGGGCCTCTGCTAGGTCGACTCAGCCTCAAATGGGTACCTTGTGCAATGTGTAAAGATCGCCAACATGGAGACAAAAGTGGCTGGGCATGGTGTTGGCCTTCTATCCCCTCGTGTGTCTTCCCGGCCTTTTTCGGTGCTCGCTAACAGCACTTTCCCCCTTCAGGAGAAGGGACCACTGCCTAAAACCTCACCGATTATATATATATTTTTCTTACAGGCCACGGCATTATTGACAAAAAATGTTAATTGCGCTTGTTCAATGTGCTTGTGCACCGTGACCAACGCAGCAGCAACATCACTGCCCAGTTTGTTTCAAGGTTGAAGTACGTTAAAAAACAAAAGGGGGCTTGACGTGCACGTGCTGCTGCGTGACCGGCGGCTGCCCACTGAATGCGTTCATTCACGGTTGACTTTCCGTGCTCCGTCCACCCTCCCTTGTTTCCCGCGCAGGGGGCGGTCGTGTTGGTGCTGTGGTACGGAGGGAAGCTGGTCTATGAAAACCTGCACGGGCAAACGGGCATCTCAGTCGGAACCCTCACCGGTGGGTACTTCCTTCCCTATCGTCATCATCCTGCATAGAGGCTTCTCTATATCCCTATGCAGTGCAAATGCAAAGTGCACTGTATTGTTCAATAAAGTATCGGGGCTGTGTGTGATATAAGCCACGTGGCGCTGTGGTTTAGGGCGCTCGCCTCGCCGCCGGAAGGTTCGCGAGTTCAAATTTTCCTATTGCGAGTTGGCTTGCGTAATCATATAATCACCAACGGCACGTACGGACAAAATATTTACAAAATTACACAAACTAAAACACGAGTCGGGCAGATTCGGCAGTGGGGGGGGGGGGGATACTGCACATAAGCCAGCTCAACGACTGCAGTCTCACCCAGATGGCAAATTGTAGTGTAATGTAGGCTACCAATTTCTGAGGCTCAACCTGAACACATGGGTAGCGGACAGCCCCCTCCCTGTTTCAGCTCTGCCGACTCTTTATATAGGCACGACCACTCAAGAACTAGCCCTGTCTCCTGCTCATGGGCCCCACCTATGCGTATAAACCTCAAGAGGCCAGAAAATGTAATACCGAGACAAACTCCCGATTTTCGCAAATCCTTTTGAGACACCGAGTCGGGGGTGGTGGTGCTGCAGCCTTTGTTAAAGCGTCATTGCCCTGGCCAAACAAGGACGTTTGGGAGCTTTCCTTGTGATGTACTGTGTCATCTCTCTCCCCCTTTCCACCTGCCTCCCCTTTTGCACGCGTTTGGCGCGGCCAGCGTTCATGCTCTACACCCTGAACGTGGCCATGGGCTTCGCGTTGCTCGCGTCGCTCTACGGGGACTTCATGCAGGCAGTCGGCGCGTCCCAGCGCGTCTTTGAGCTACTCGACCGGCAGCCTCGCATCCCCAACACGGGCGGACGAGCACCGCCCAGTGTGCGCATGGATGGCAGTGAGTGTCGCAGGCGCGGTAGGGCCTTCTGTTCGCACAAGTGCAAGGCCGCAGAATACAGTACACAGTGTGACTGCGGATAGATGGTAGGCCGAACAGCAGAATGCATTGTCAGCCCTTGCCAGAAGCGATGCGTCACGGGAAACTTTGAGTGTGTAGATGAGACCGCCACCCAAAGCCATTACGTGGCTTACGAACCTCAGTGTTCAAATTTAGAAAAAAGTCCCTATAGCAACACATGGTAACCTGAATTCTGGCATTTGCAGTGTATTGGCAAGTGCTTTGCTTGCATTTGGAAGGTTATTATAATTTCAGCCAACCCCTAAGAGCAAATAAAATGAATACTGCATTTCATGAAAATGAACAGTAGTTATCTCAGAGATGAACTGGCCCCGACCATAGGAATGTATAATTGTTGCTACCGGCTCAGGGGTCCACTCAATCGCTCACTGTGACTTTGTGAATGGTGAACATTGTAACGGTCGACTGTATCTGCATTTGCAGGAGTCTCGTTCAACGACATTCACTTCTGCTACCCGTCCCGCCCTGACACGCCGGTTCTGCAGGTTGGTGCTGTCCCATATGTTGACCCCTTGACCTGTTCGTGTCTTGGACGGGTGGGACAGTGGCTAAAGTGCCGCGAGTTAAATTCCTCTTCAGGGATCGACTCAGCCCTTTTTTATTTTTTCGGGGCCAGCAGTGGTCTTCCCATAGATACGAATTCCTGACAAGGGAATGTGGAATTTCCACCACTGACTCAGAGCTGTAAACAGGAGATGAGTGCTGCCTCATTTTCAATTGACCAAGGCACTACTTTAACTTTGTTTTATCAGTTATTGACCAGCAAAACCCTCTCCTTTTATTTAGTGTGTATGTATATATATGTACACTGGGGTTTCTGTTTATGCTTGTCCACCTCTTCCATCACAATTCCTTTTCCACCACCATATCATATTTTTTTCTAAGCCAACAGATCGATGATAAGCGAGTGGTAATGGTAATAATAGTAGCGGTAGCAAAGAACCGAGGAGGTGACAGACCAATGATGAGCAATTGGCTGTGGCATCACAGAAGCAGTGGCAGATAAACTAGTAGGTGACAGACTGACGATGAATGAGTGGTTGTCCAAATGATAGTGGCAGAGATGAGAGACCAATAATGAGCGAGTGGTTGTGGAAATGATAGCGGCAGTAGCAGAGAACCTAGGAGGTGACAGACCAATGATGAGCAGGTGGCTGTGGGTAATGATCGTAGCCAATGGTGAAGCCAGGATTTTCAGGTGGGGGGGGGCAACCCCTCCAACAATTAAAAATTATAGCTGTTAGTAAGTAAGGACTTGTCCGTTGCTTTTTATTCGACGCGTGTGCGGCGATGGTGCAGTCATTGATCGAGGGTCGAATTCGAACCGCGTTGTGTGATCGGCATCGCGCTCGCTGAAGGTGTTTGCCTTCAGGGAAGTCGTGTAACCTATACGCAACTGCGCACAATTGTATGAGTCACTCATAACTGCTTAGCCGTTACTTATTGCCAAATATGGACTCAGACTATTGTCCTATCATCTCATAGAGTCCCTGGCACGTAATAATATGCTACAGAGTGGCAGTGGGGGTCGCAAAATGCCGATTTATTACCAATAAACCCCAATGATCCGATCGGAATTAGGGACTTCGATCGTATTATTGTCTGATAGTAGCAGTAGCAGAGAAACGAGGAGGGTGACAGACTGACAATGATCGAATGGCTGCAGTGAACGAGCGTGGCGTGGCATGGTTGTGATGGCCGAGCGTGGCGCAGCATGGTTGTGATGGCCGAGCGTGGCGTGGCATGGTTGTGATGGCCGAGCGTGGCGTGGCATGGTTGTGATGGCCGAACGAGCGTGGCGTGGCTGTAGTGAACGAGCGTGGCGCGGCATGGTTGTGATGGCCGAGCGTGGCGCGGCATGGTTGTGATGGCCGAGCGTGGCGCGGCATGGTTGTGATGGCCGAGCGTGGCGTGGCGTGGCTGTAGTGAACGAGCGTGGCGTGGCATGGTTGTGATGGCCGAGCGTGGCGTGGCGTGGCTGTAGTGAACGAGCGTGGCGTGGTTGCGATGGCCGAGCATGGCGTGGCTGCAGTGAACGAGCGTGGCGTGGCATGGTTGTGATGGCCGAACGAGCGTGGCGTGGCTGTAGTGAACGAGCGTGGCGTGGCATGGTTGTGATGGCCGAGCGTGGCGCGGCATGGTTGTGATGGCCGAGCGTGGCGCGGCATGGTTGTGATGGCCGAACGAGCGTGGCGCGGCGTGGTTGTGATGGCCGAGCGTGGCGTGGCATGGTTGTGATGGCCGAGCGTGGCGCGGCATGGTTGTGATGGCCGAGCGTGGCGCGGCGTGGTTGTGATGGCCGAGCGAGCGATCGTCTCTCGGCGCCGCTCCAGGGCGTGTCGTTCTCGGTGGAGCCGGGCACCGTCGTGGCACTCGTTGGGCCATCGGGAGGCGGGAAGTCGACGATCGTGGCGCTGCTGCAGCGCTTCTACGACCCCAGCGCCGGATCCATCATCTTCGGTAACCACTGCTCCTTGTCTCACCACATCGGGTGCTTTTGAGCGTGTGCAGGGACATAGAGGTGGTTTCAGTTCCTGGTATGCGTCATGAAGCTGGGCTGTTTGTTGTGACCCCAGTGACCTCACTTTCGCCTAAATGTCGCTGCCTTACGACTCGGCTCGTATTCTTAAACAGAAGCAGATATCCTTACACGCAAGGCGGGGTGGCTCGGTGGTCTAAGCGCCCAACTCAGTGGCTGGAATCCAAATACCATCATAGGATCGCTAGCGGTGCTGACTCGTCGCCTCGAATGCCTGAACCATACTAGCACCTCTTAATCCTTCACCCTTTCCCTAGACGTCTGAATCTTGGAATGCGCAAGCGGTTAGGGTTCATTTTATTTCGAGAGGCATAGCGCCGCTGTTTTTACAGACATTGTACTCGCCACGGGGAATCGTAGCGACACGGCCGCACTCAACGATAGCTAGTTGGTGACGGACCGCGCCACACGCCGCCCCGCATGGCCTTTTCCCTTCCGATTCCGTTCCGATGACGTACGTGAAAGGGTTAACAGGGGGAGGAACTCCGCCTTGCGATAATGGCTACGTATAGCGGTGAGCTGCATTGCTTCCTCTGGCCGCCACGGAACCCGCTGAGCTGTGGACACTCGTGCGAGTGCAGGAGGGACAGACTTGCGGGAGCTGGACCCCCAGTGGTTCCGTCAGACCATGGCCGTCGTGAGCCAGGAGCCCGTGCTCTTCGCGACCACGATCCACAAGAATATCTCCTACGGTCGCGAGGCCACTTTTGAGGAGGCGAGGCACCATTTACCGTTCATTTCGCATGCCTGCGGGCAAATACGAACAAACAATGACAATGATTGACGTCCAGAATTTGTGACCGTGAATGCTGTTTATTCGGCATGTTTCATCCATCTGCTCAACTGTGCGAGACAGGTGGTGGAGGCTGCAAAGCAAGCGAATGCGCACGACTTCATCTTATCCTTCGAGGTAACAATCAACAAACACAGAGTCACGCAAAATTTACCTTGTGCTGAGTATGGTGATTGTGGTTAATGAATAATGAAAAACGGCAATGGTCTGTTTCATTTGCAAACTAAATGAAATTACATTTAGATTCCACCATGGCGTCGGGCTATCTTCCAGTAGCATTTCCTACGCATTTCAAGCTAAGTTTGAACGCGCACAAGGACTCCGCGTAGTGGAGTAGCTGTCGAGTACGCAGGCAGTGCAACTGCTCTGGGCCCCGTGCACTTGATCGCAAGAGACACGTGGCGCCTGCTTCTTGGGCGAGGCGATTCCAGAGTTTAGGGATCGCGGCGTCATGAATAAGCCGTCCATACAAAATGTTAATTGCTTTAAAAGAGCCAATTAATTGATTCATTGATGCCGATTTTGATACCGGCACGCATTGTCACCGGATCTGAGTACGTGTGCAAATTTTGGAATTCATTGGACAATAGGAAGTCGACTAAATTTTGATTACAAGATTTGACCACGACAAACATTGGAGTCAAGTGAAGTAAAACCGTTGAAAAAGGTCCAGGTCCCACCAATCCTGCACCTCTTCATGTTTTTTTTTACATTCTTCCGTAATTAATACTCATACTGTCCGCCCCCCTATTTTAAATCACGAATGGCTGTGCCCAGCTATGAGGGGAAACCTCTTGCCAATCAGAGCAGCTGTTATTGTTGGGGTGCCTATCTTACCTATAAACGTTATTTTTTGTCTGTCTGTCTATCCCTAGAGAGTGTATGACTGTCCAACAGACTGCTGGTGGCAGATTGCATAGTGAAATTAGTTAGGAATGGGAAGGCGAGACAAAGAACTCTAGCAACGCGGAGTGGTGGCGACTAAACGACGGGAAGGAACACTTCTGCAGGCAAGCTGTGGAGAACTTAAAAAGCTTAAGGCCTCGGGCGATCGGGAATGAAATATGGCAACTGACGAGTGGAATGCTGAAAGCAGCAGTTAGTACAGTGGGAGTGAGCAAAGGAAGACATGCAACAGCAGGAAACATGGTGGTGGAGTGATGAAGTGCAAAGGCAACACGGAATGTCAGAACACGAGAGAGAATGACCATCTGGATGGATACCTGGCAGTGAGAAGAGAGGCAAAGCTAGTGTGGTAGCAATGGCAAAAACAACAGCGTTTGCACACCTCTACCAGAAGCTTGACGGCAAAGAAGGCAAGAAGATGGTATACACCATGTGGCAAGAGCCAGAGAGAGAGAGAGAGAAAGACCAGGGACATTGACCATGTGAATCTTGTTAAGAAAAGCGAAGGGTGAACAATCTTGGATGAGATATAGGTAAGAGAGAGATGGCAAGAGTACTTTGAGAAGTTTCTGAATGTGAAAAACCAAAGACGCGAAATGGTTCAGGAACATCAAATAATTTAAGTAGCTGCAGAGACTCTAACCAGGTAAGAGGTGGTGGAGGCTCTGGGGAGTATGAAACATCAAAATCAGTGGGGCCAGATGAGATTCCAATTGATGTGTTAAAATGAATGGGAGAGACGGGTGTTGAAATTTTGATGCGCTTGTTTGGGAAAATCTGTATGGAGAAGAAAATGCCGGGATGCATGGAGAGAGAGTACATTGGTTCCCGTCTTTAAAGGGAAAGGTGATGTACAAGAGTGTTGGAATTACTGATGAATAGCAATGATGACCAATACCACGAGACTCTGGGAAAGGATCATAGAAAGGAGACTGAGGAAGCCGGTGGATATTGGCAAGAGTCAGTTTGTATTTAGACAGGTAAGGTCAACAATGGATGCAATCTTTGCACTGAGAGTATTGATGGAGAAGTACAGAGGGAAGAAACGGGACCTGCATATGGTGTTTATTGATCTATAGAAAGCGTACAACAGGGTGCCTAGAGAGCTCACCTGGTGGTGTATGAGAAGAAGAAGAAGAGGTATTCCTGAGGTATATTTCCGGCTGATCCAGGATATGTATGAAGGAGGGAAAATGCACGTGCGAAGCAGCTGTCGAGTGTCGGAGAGCTTTAATGTCCAAGCGGGAGTGGAGCAAGGTTCCGCCCCGAGTCCCTTTCTGTTCATCCTGGTGCTGGACACACTGACGAGAGGTATTCAGAGGGAGCCCTCCTGGTGTATGCTGTTTGCACATATTGTGCTGTGTAGTGAAAGCAGAGAGGGGTAGTGGAAGATGATTTCAAAATCTGGGCGCAAAAGATTGAAGGGAATGGGTCGAGGATCAGTCGAACAAAGATGGAGTACATGGTGGCATGTTTAATTGGCAATAATGCAGAAGGATTGCAAATTAGAAGTGACCAGTTAATGAAGACAAACGAGTTTAAGTACCTGGCTGTAACGATGTGTGCCGATGGATCACGAGAAGGAGAGGTGAGAACAATAAGAAGGGCTGGATGGCTGAAATGGTGAGAGATTACTGGTGTGGTGTGCGACAAGAGGGTCCCAATTTGGTCGAAGGGAAAAGTGTTCACGACGGTAGTGAGGCCGATGCTGTTTTATGGGGCCAAGTACAGGGGCACAAGAAAGAGGGAGGATCAAGCTACGGCAGTGACAGAGATGGGGATGTTGCGGTGGATGTTGGGTTTAACAAGGAAGGACAGGCTGAGAAATGGAGAAGTGAGAGAGGAGACTCAAGGTGGTGGAAATCACAGAGAAAATGAGAGAGAAAAGGCTGCTGTGGTTCGGTCATGTTTAGAGATGACAGGGAAATGATGTGGGTTAGAAGGTGCAAGCGATGCAAGTGGTAGGAAAGAGATCAAGAGGAAGGCAGAAGAAGAGGTGGGACGATGTGGTGTGATCGGAACATGGTGGCCGGAGGAGCGTAAATAGAAATGGCGAAGTACAGGGCAGCATGGAGAAAGTTGGCAAGGACAGCTGACCCCACATTAGTGGGACAAACGCGTGGAAGAAGATTTGCTTTGCCATGCCCCTTCCGATGCGCTGAGAGAAACATGGTTATGCTGAAGTTGAGCGAGCAGCCGAGAACCGTAATCGTGATTTTGAATTAAATGCCCTAATGCTATCGCTATTTCAATTGGCAAAAAATGTTCTAATTATAATTGTTGATATGAATGCTAAATTAAACTGATAAATCGGTGCACGTTGAATACGGTGTTGCGATATGCACTATTGTGGATATGCACGCATTGTTATAGCATTTCAGTCCACATGTGTCTTGCCGTCTTCCATACAGTACAGGACTTAATGATCGCAATTAAATGCGCTCTACGTATCGCCTTGTACGAAATTTAATTTCACTACTTTACAAACGGGGGTGATCGTTATTCTAATTGTAATAGTCGTGCTGCGTGTTATCAACCTTTGATTACCTAGACTGTTATATAGCAATGCGCATGCCTTCATTTATTGTAGAGTCAATGGTTGACATAGACAAGTCATCATTGTCATTTCTACAGGGTCATAATATAGGTACCACTTCGTGCGAAGTTGTCAGTGGTTAAATATGGCCCCTGCCATGGGAATGTGGAATTTCCACTGGTGGAGATGAGCACCGCACAATGCCCGTAGGAGCATAGAGACTTTTTGTGCTGGTTGTGGAGGCCCTTTGACCATACTTCACCGCGGCTGGTCAGTGCGGATTGGTAAAGGTGTAGTGGGTTCAAACTGACTCGCAGACGCACTCTTGGCAAGTACAACTGCATTTAAACACAACGTGGCCCCCGGCGGCCCTAGGACAACTTGTTTGTGCATGGTATGCACACATTCAGGCACTGCCCAAGCTCAGATCTCATTGGTTTTCGAGGTCCGACCAGATGAGGTGCATTCCAAGTCTGGGCGATTTGTTCATAGGCGTTGAGGGTTATAGTGATGCTGTTCTTAACATATTTGGAGTTTGCGTATCTCTATCCCCGTGCTCGTGTTAATTTTTTCTCCATGTCCTCTGGGTTTTCCCTCCACATTTAGAAACATGTGCTTTGAGTATTTGGCTGCTTTAAATTTCCACGTGATTAGCCACTTCATTGGGCTATCATTTCTGACCAGGTCGCTTCTGAAAAAGAGCTACAGTGAGGGAATAAAGTATTTGATCCCCTGCTGATTTTGTACGTTTGCCCACTGACAAAGAAATGATCAGTCTATAATTTTAATGGTAGGTTTATTTGAACAGTGAGAGGCAGAATAACAACAACAAAATCCGGAAAAACGCATGTCAAAAATGTATCAATTGATCTGCATTTTAATGAGGGAAATAAGTATTTGACCCCTCTGCAAAACATGACTCAGTACTTGGTGGCAAAACCCTTGTTGGCAATAACAGAGGTCAGACGTTTCTTGTAGTTGGACACCAGGTTTGCACACATCTCAGGAGGGATTTTGTCCCACTCCTCTTTGCAGATATTCTCCAAGTCATTAAGGTTTCGAGGCTGACGTTTGGCAACTCGAACCTTCAGCTCCCTCCACAGATTTTATAGGGGATTAAGGTCTGGAGACTGGCTAGGCCACTCCAGGACCTTAATGTGCTTCTTCTTGAGCCACTCCTTTGTTGCCTTGGCCGTGTGTTTTGGGTCATTGTCATTCTGGAATACCCATCCACGACCAATTTTCAATGCCCTGGCTGAGGGAAGGAAGTTCTCACCCAAGATTTGACGGTACATGGCCCCGTCCATCGTCCCTTTGATGCGGTGAAGTTGTCCTGTCCCCTTAGCAGAAAAACACCCCCAAAGCATAATGTTTCTACCTCCATGTTTGACGGTGGAGATGGTGTTCTTGGGGTCATAGGCAGCATTCCTCCTCCTCCAAACACGGCGAGTTGAGTTGATGCCAAAGAGCTCCATTTTGGTCTCATCTGACCACAACACTTTCACCCAGTTGTCCACTGAATCATTCATATGTTCATTGGCAAACTTCAGACGGGCATGTATATGTGCTTTCTTGAGCAGGGGGGGACCTTGCGGGCGCTGCAGGATTTCAGTCCTGCACGGTGTAGTGTGTTACCAATTGTTTTCTTGGTGACTATGATCCCAGCTGCCTTGAGATCATTGACAAGATCCTCCTGTGTAGTTCTGGGCTGATGCCTCACCGTTCTCATGATCATTGCAACTCCACGAGGTGAGATCTTGCATGGAGCCCCAGGCCGAGGGAGATTGACAGTTCTTGTGTTTCTTCCATTTGCGAATAATCGTACCAACTGTTGTCACCTTCTCACCAAGCTGCTTGGCAATGGTCTTGTAGCCCATTCCAGCCTTGTGTAGGTCTACAATCTTGTTCCTGACATCCTTGGAGAGCTCTTTGGTCTTGGCCATGGTGGACAGTTTGGAATCTGATTGATTGATTGTTTCTGTGGACAGGTGTTTTTTATACAGGTAATAAGCTGAGGTTAGGAGCACTCCCTTTAAGAGTGTGCTCCTAATCTCAGTTCGTTATCTGTATAAAAGACACCTGGGAGCCAGAAATCTTTCTGATTGAGAGGGGGTCAAATACTTATTTCCCTCACTAAAATGCAAGTCAATTGATAACATTTTTGACATGTGTTTTTCTGGATTTTGTTGTTATTCTGTCTCTCACTGTTCAAATAAACCTACCATTAAAATTATAGACTGATCATTTATTTGTCAGTGGGCAAACGTACAAAATCAGCAGGGGCTCAAATACTTGTTTCCCTCACTGTATATTGCTCAAGTGGGCATTACCTGATAAAATAATAAAAGTTTAAATAGTTTTCACGGTTTCTTTTCGATATGCTTAATTTGCTCTATGCAAGCCACCCACTTTTATTCAGCACATCAAATTTGATTAATTCTGTGGTAAAAAAAATATGTATTGTCTACTTTTGAGTGCAAATAAAAGTGTGTGCATTTAAAAAGTGTTTTTTTACCTATTTTTTTTTGGACCGGATTTGAACTGCCACATTATTGTAGATCCAGGCTTGGCTTTAGGGGTGGGTGATCAGCACTGCCACCCGGGTCGCACAGCTGTAAGGGACGCTGATTATGTATCAGGGTTACCAATAATTTGAAGACTGGAAAGAGAGAAAAAGATCAACAAAGAGACACAGAAAGAGACCCAGAAAAAGCGAGACGGAACATTTTTGAGAAACATAAATGCAGAGCGGGGAGACAGACATACGGGCAGAGAGAACACCATCCCACAGATGGTTTTACCGTGATTCTATGTGGTGACTGCGGAGACCGTGTGGTGACTGTGGAGGCTGTGTAACCACTGTCTTTCTCATCAGGAGGGTTATGAAACGTTGGTGGGAGAACGCGGAGTGCGACTCTCTGGGGGTCAGAAGCAAAGGATCGCCATCGCTCGGGCGCTCATCATGAACCCAGTCCTGCTGCTACTCGATGAGGTTCGTTGGAGCTGTTGGCAACACATCAAGTCACATTTACTCTCGGCGGGGCAGGTGCTGTTAGTGAGCACTTATTTGTGTACACTAGGGATAAGCATTTTATGTTCTCTGGCCAATTTTTCAAATGCCTATCAGCCCATGCAAACACCTGGTATTCCCAGGCGGACTGCCATTCTCAAGTAACTTAGTTGGTTTATCCCCTCTGTAACATCTCAGAGCTAAATAGATACGTTTCAAGATTATTTGGTCGTAAAAATAATGCAACAAATTATTTGCTTCAGCTGCGTTGGCAGTGATGCACAAGAACAATAAACGAGAACACTCGACACACTCATCAATAATAACACTGTGCGGGCTTTTAATATAAAAGATATCATTGGTGACGTTTCAGACAATCACCCTTCTGCATAGCACAGATTTGATAATCGGTGTCTTCTCTGCATTGTGTTTTATTTGCTCTCCCTTTTGTGCACCGTTGTATGGTTTGTCCTGTTTTCTTGTACCCGTATTCACTCCTGCTGTCTTTTTGTGCTTACTCAACCGACACTAATTTCTTTGCCCTTCCGTCTCCGCTGTACCGTTTTTCCTTGCTCTGCATTTTCGCAGCATCGTCGCGTCCACGGCACTGCCTCCCCAGCGCTGTCCTCAAACCCGCACGGTCCTTTCACACAGCCCGTGGCTTCGTTCCGTCGTCCGTGTGTCGATCGCAGGCGACGAGTGCCCTGGACGCGGAGAGCGAGCACCTGGTGCAGGAGGCGATCGACCGAGCGATGCAGGATCGGACCGTGCTCGTCATTGCCCACCGCCTCTCTACCGTGCGCAGCGCTTCACAGGTGACGCTGTCACATCTCCACCATGCCAAGCCCGCCTTCCCCCCCCCATCCCCCCAGCTCTGAATCACAGACGAGGTGAATGCCGGAGTTCACGCCTTCCTTCCCCCTCTCGCTGCGTGCATTGGCGTCGGTGTTGACCTTATCTCAGAATCTTCAGACTTTCCTCTGTGAATGTTATCCTCGCGCGCCTCTGAATGTCCCTGTGAGGTTTGTATTGTGCACGTTACGTATGTGACGAAGGAATGAATGAATGGTAGGCTATGATGGCTATACTATATTTCCAACAAGGATAAATCCGGTGTCATCCAGTTGCTGACTTGTAGCCCTTAAAAATGTATCTATCTTTTCACAATTCATGAGCGTGGGTGCACGCAACATTCTGCTTCCAGGAATGATGCACTCACGCACTGCTGCTGTCTAAAGCAATATGGCCATAGGTTTGACTCGTTTGATTGGGTTGTTTGACACAGGCCATGGGGATTACACACAGCATGGAGACGTCACGTGACATGCAAGGCATGATGGTTACAATTCAGTCTTCTGCCGTCCTTAAATCACCTTTTGCATGTACAATTCCTCTGCTTGTTTCTCGGGTGCGTCTCCTTTAAACCTGCGATGTGCCGCCCCCCATCACATTCCCGTGTGCAGGTGGTCGTGGTGGACAAGGGCCAGATCGTGGAGCGTGGTACCCACGACGCGCTGTTGGCGCACCAGGGCGGCGTGTACCGCCGCCTCGTGCTGCGCCAGCTCAGCGCTGGGCACACCAGCGCGCCCTGTGCGGGCGACGGGGACGCGGGCAGCGATGGCGAGAACGGAGACAAGGACGAAGGGAATGGCGCGGAGGTCAAAGTGAAAGAGCCGAGTCCCCATGACGCGGAGCGGACGGATCCAGGACAGAGCCAGGAGGCTGTTGGTGATGACGAAGCCGACGACGATCTGATTGACTTGCAGTCAAATGGCTGACTCAAGCGCGGCGTGGTGGAGTTTGCTGTGTAGTGAGAGTGATGAATGACCTGTATATGGGTACTCTCGAGGTGCGACTGCTTTACTACATGAAACTTTTCGTTTGTACAAACGAAGGGAAATTATTGTACGTTGAAAAACACCGTTGAACGGGTTCAAACGAGAATTCTTATCGTCCATAGCGCTGTATTTACACACAAACCCTGGTCGCCTCGGGCATGAGCGAGTTTACATCTGTACCAGTTGTCTGTCACATTTATCCACGGAGGAGAGAGGAGATCCAAATGAGTGCGATTACGAATTGATTTCAATGTTGCACACGGCTAAAGTCCTGGATGTGAGACGTCGGTATCATGATGATGCCACGTGTACATGGTTGTTCTTCTCACCAGCAGCATGAATTGATGAGCATTACAAACGTCCTGTGGTCAGGCAATATGTGGTCAGGCAATATGAAGTAGTCGACACAGGCGCATTGAAACTGTTACTGGGGGTGCCGCGGTGGCGAGATGCTAATTGCCTCGCCCGGAATGCAGGGGATGCAGAAGGTCGTGGGTTGAAGTCCAACTCTGACACATTTATTTTTTCTTTGGGTTGTCCGATTTTTACCTCGACATTTAGAAACATGCATTGGGTATTTGGCTGCTATAAATTTCCACACAAGCCACTTAATCGGGATATCATTTGTGGCCAGGTCTCTTCTGAAAAAGAGTTATATAGCTCAGTGGGCATATCCTGGTAAAAATATATTTTTTTAGTTTAGAAGTTTATGGGGCAAGCATCCATGTTGTTCCTTGTCAAGTAGCCAAGTGGCTGTATGGAGATGTTATTGAAGGGGCACAGCGTATGGCATTCACCCCGCCCAAATGATTTGGGACTCTCTCACCCTCGACTCATGGGTCTGATGCACTGGTGCTGCTCATGATGCAGTATGGTACATGCTGCGTGACTGCCATATTATAGATGTATGCCATGTGTGCGCACAGTGTGTGTACATGCACTACACAGCCGCCTTGTGTGACCACATTCCCTCCTGTGTGGGGCACCTTTGGCCCCCTGCACCATCACGACAGCGTTCGTCCTGCTCACCTCACCTCGGCCACAGGTGAATGTGGATATAAGCAGTGGCGTAGTGTGGTGGCAATGGGTCCCTTTGGCTCCAAGTATTGAAATGTCCCATATCAGTGTGGCCCACGTGCCTGCCCAGTAAATATGCGAACGTTGAGTCAACGTTAGCATGTGGTGGACCCGTTGGCCCAAGGTTCCATGTTTACTGTGCGGGGGCGCCTTTGGCCCCCTGGGGCCCTGAGTGCAGTTGCACCGCCTGCGCACTGAAAAGCTCCTGCCACTGGATAAGAGCAGCATTACAATATCGGGAAACCTCACGTTGGTACGGAGCAAGAATGGTTCCCAAAACGTTTTGGGCGGTTTCTGCTTCATCAGCGTGGCCTCGCCTGGGAAATAAGTACATTATTATTGAGAGATGATCACGGGTGAGTTAACATCCGACCTCAGTGAATTAATTTATCTCAGGAATAATCCTTATCAATGTTTCTTCCTAAGTGTATATCAATGTATGCATTCCACTGTATTTTGGCATAAATGTATTGTGTTTAAGACGGTACATTGTGCTGTTCTCAAAAGGAGTGTAAAAGGTCTTGCGTGTTACGTGTAACAATAAAACACCTCAAACTGAACATGCCATTCATTTGCATGTGTGGTAAAACATTCACTGTCTCGGTACAATCCACAGTTTTCTCAAGAGACTGACACTTGACAGGCATTCATATTTTATCAAAATGAATTTGTTCCAACGTAATACAGTTGTCAGATTTTAGCGCTCGAACCACATCTCTGTGTAGCACCATAGATGGAACGGTACCTCGTACCGTCAGGGGAGAGGCTGCAGTGCCAGCCCAAGAGGGGAGGGGCTGCTGGGGGTTCTAGGATCCCCAGACAGCTAAGCCCCTTGGCGCCCCCAACGGTGGGGGGGGGGGGGGGGGGGGGCTGCGGGGGTTCTACGATCCCTCGCAGCCCCACCCCTCAATAGGCAAGGGGCATAAAAGGGGACCTCCCCAGCCGATCTGGGACCAGTTGAAGACCGCAGCTGAAGACCAGCAGCTCGATAGGACCCTGGACCCCCTCGACCCGCTGTCCTTGTCAGGGCCGGGACGCTGTGCGGGCCGGTGGTGGGACTCTCGGCCAGTGGTGGGACTCTGGGCCGGTGGTGGGACTCTAGGCCAGTGGTGGGACTCTGGGCCAGTGGTGGGGCTCTGGACCAGTGGTGGGACTCTGGGCCAGTGGTGGGACTCTGGGCCAGTGGTGGGACTCTGGGCAAGTGGTGGGGCTCTGGGCCAGTGGTGGGACTCTGGGCCAGTGATGGGACTCTGGGCCAGTGGTGGGACTCTGGGCCAGTGGTGGGGCTCTGGACCAGTGGTGGGACTCTGGGCCAGTGGTGGGACTCTGGGCCAGTGGTGGGACTCTGGGCAAGTGGTGGGGCTCTGGGCCAGTGGTGGGACTCTGGGCCAGTGGTGGGACTCTGGGCCAGTGGTGGGGCTCTGGACCAGTGGTGGGACTCTGGGCAAGTGGTGGGGCTCTGGGCCAGTGGTGGGACTCTGGGCCAGTGATGGGACTCTGGGCCAGTGGTGGGGCTCTGGACCAGTGGTGGGACTCTGGGCCAGTGGTGGGGCTCTGGGCCAGTGGTGGGACTCTGGGCAAGTGGTGGGGCTCTGGGCCAGTGGTGGGACTCTGGGCCAGTGATGGGACTCTGGGCCAGTGGTGGGACTCTGGGCCAGTGGTGGGGCTCTGGACCAGTGGTGGGACTCTGGGCCAGTGGTGGGACTCTGGGCCGGTGGTGGGACTCTGGGACTGTTGTTAGTCAGTGGTAGGACAGCCACATTGCTATTGGTAGGGGCAATCTATTAATACCACCACGACTGGATTTCTTCAAGTCCCTTATTCGACATGCGTCACACTTTCGACGTTAAAGATGTGTGGCACGTGAACGCTATCCTGACGCCATTCACATTATGTCCTAGCACCGGGGTCAGAATTGTAAAATTACCTGCACTGGTAGACTTGCAAATGAGATACATTTAATGTCGGCTTTCACGACCAATATTAATCATGGAGGTCCGTGTACGTACGACACATTTCCACGATCTAACCCAACAAACCTTCTCATGAGACGAAATCAACTTAAACTTTCTGGGTGGAATTATATTTCACGAATGCGATGTGTGGGAGTATCAGCAATTGTCTCCATATATAAAAAGGCAAATTCTAGATTTTAAGTTTTCGTGACTGCAATGATCCATACTCTTTGGTTCTTTAGGTAAAGTCACGTAGGTAAAATAATAATCATAAATAAATATCAAATCAAATCACGACGTTTCGGAGGTAACACAAGCTACCTCGTACATATTGTTCAACTTGTTAGATACGAAACGACTCATCCACTTAAACCAGACACGTTGGGCTTTTTAATCCGGCCCGCTGAACTTGTCCAAATATTATTATTAAATAAAATTTTCCCTTTCTCCTGTAATGCCCCCATTTCCCCATTAGATGGCGCACTTTGACCGGGAGTTACGACATGTTTTTGTATTGTTCATGTTCGTGCAATTTGTTAAATTGCCTTGCAAATAAATTATTTGCTACCTGTTAAAGGCCAAATCCTTTCATGTAATGATTTTTTCATGTCATTTATATTAGTTCACACAAACACTCCATCCATCTGTTCCTGGCCTGGCCTCTCTGTCAAATTTTAGAACCCATTGTGGCACGCGAGTCAAAAAATTTGCCCACCCCTGACTTAAACACATTCTTACGTTCATGATGCATGCATTACATTATGTGTATCAGTAACGCCACCTCCTGTCTGTTGTTCAACTTGTTGTCAATTTGTCACGAAACAACTCATCCATTAAAATACATTCATGACACACCCATTAAATAATGAGTGATAAGGATTGAACATTCATGCAAATAAAAACATTCCTTAAGGCTAATTACACAAACAAGACCGAAAGTAGGCAACAAGTATGTGACGTCTTTTGACACGAATTTTCGTGTCAAAAATAGGTGCGAAATCATTCAATGCTGACTATTCAAGTTTATTTTGTTTAACTGGGTGATAACTCAAGACACTAGGATGAATCATTCAATGCTAACTATTCAAGTTTATTTTGTTTAACTGGGTGATAACTCAAGACACCAGGATGAATCTTAATGGCAAGAGAGTGGCCTGGATCACCAAAATGACAAAAGGAAAACCAGCAAAAATAAGATTTGCCGGCTGGCATGTGGTGCGTAATGTGCATCTCAGGTCAGTGAAACACGGCACGGACAATGAACCACCATGCGGTCCACGTTTTTATTTCTCTCCCACACATCATCATCATCGATATCCACCAACCAAAAGAACATCGTATAAAAACATTACCGAGTAAAAAAATAAAATCTCCACCTACTCTACATCTGATCAAGGACTAATAAAACAAAGTTACACAAAGTTGAAATTAGGCGGAATGTTCTAACGTCATGAACTGACGTCGCGTTTTTTCACTGAGAAGGCATTTTCCATACCGCTCGTTGAACAGCAGCACGCATGTATAAGAATAGGTTTTATCCTTTCTGGCAATAAAACAGTTTGTGTCAAGATGTTAAAACACCAAACTGAAACCTTTCGCAAGGAGTCGTGTCTGCATTAACCACATATACTTGTGGCGAACATGAAAACCAAAAACATGCTCTGGTAGTAGTAGAGGCATTGTCTTTGAAACGGATTGGTCCACACCAGAGACAGCTTTCTTTAGAGCCTAGTCTCAAACAGTGTTAGACCAGAGGACGCAGCTGCATCGAGGGACCCCCCTTGCCATTACCAAAATTTCAGAATAGGTTTGACCCTTTTTGGGGTCAAACCCCAAAAGATGTGAGAACACCAAACTGAACCCCTCTTTGCTGTTTGCATGTTTGCCACAAGTATCTGTGGTTAATTGAGACTGATTCCTTGCAAAAGGTTTCAGAATGGTGTTTGACCATCTTAACACCTTTGTGATTATATTCTTGGTTCTTTCGGTAAAGTCATGTAGAAGGGAAACAATAAAATAATAATATAAAACAATAAAATTCTCACGACGTTTCGACTGCGACACAAGCAATCATCATCAGGTGTGAAAACCACAGCAAGAAAATTTGAAAAGTGCTAGAAAGGCTAAAACCAATTCTTATATTCTGAACACTGGCAAGAGAGGTCCCATAAAGTCCACGTGTAGTAGCTTCCCACCATAAGAGGGACATCCCAAAAGTATTTATCAACCCCTTTTTAGATTATATATTATATTTACGAACGTCTCTTTATTCGCAACATGCTGACAGTAGAAATATAATTGACATCATAATTTATACTTTTTGTTTTTTTTCGGTAAAGTCACGTAGGTAAAATAAAATAGAACAATTAAATCACGACGTTTCGGAGGCAACACAAGCTTCCGTCTTCAGGTGGAACAGTCACAGCAGAATATCTGTGTCAAGTGCACAGTTCCGAGACGACTTGGATTATATATAGGTCAGGGGGGGGGGGAGCCAGAAAGGGACGTGGGTGGGTGGGAGGGCTGAGTTAAGCCGCCTTTTGTTAAACTGCACAAAAGCGGGTAAACAACCCTTTTCCGCCTCCCCCCGGAAAAAACCCCGCCGCCAGAACACCAAAAGGGTTGTTTACCCGCTTTTGTGCAGTTTAACAAAAGGCGGCTTAACTCAGCCCCCCCCACCTACCCACGTCCCTTTCTGACTCCCCCCCCCTCTGACCTATATATAATCCAAGTCGTCTCGGAACTGTGCACTTGACACAGATATTCTGCTGTGACTGTTCCACCTGAAGATGGAAGCTTGTGTTGCCTCCGAAATGTCGTGATTTAATTGTTCTATTTTATTTTACCTACGTGACTTTACCGAAAAAAACAAAAAGTATTAATCCTTGCAGTCACGAAAGCTTAAAATCTAGAATCATAATTTATAACTATGTCGTTTGAGAGTAGTGTTAATTCTGCAGCAGGTAGTGAGCAGCATAAACGATGTACTTGTACCATCATGGCAGAGACCTGAACACATCTTTGTGATTGAACTTTGGCTTTGGCTGCATGCAAGCCAGCTGCACCTCAAGTCAGGCTTCACCAATGCCAAAACGTTTTATCTCCCTAGAATCGCTTGAACCAGTCCCCCCACATTAACATGTCCTCCATACAAAGGACGCGATCTCCCATCAAGCTCGGCAGCCCTTTCACGCCGTTTCGCGAGAAATTCGACAGCACCTGTCCCAAGGCCTAGACATCCCCCCATGTATTCCAGACCTGGATATTGGAAGGAACCCAGTGATCAGCCAGGATGTTGTGGGCAAGGTGTGTTTTACCCATACAGGGTGCCTTTAAGAAAAGCCGAACGAGTTAGATGAGTGGGTTTATAATTTCTCCGATATTCACACTACGCAGAAATGGGCCATTGGTGAGGCTGAACTTCTAAAATGTTATTAAACTGCACAATTACCCCACTAACTGAATGGAATTTCCAATGAGGCTGGTGTAATGAGGCTGGTGCAATGAGGCTGGTGCTGGTGCATTTTGGTTGTATGAGTGGCATGTCCTGATTGGCATAATCGCTTCATTATGTTTGCCTGTAAGGCTGAGAGCAGGTGGATATGGTTAGAATAGTGGCTGGAGTCTCAGACCAAATCCCTGCAAAATCACCACAAGCGATTTCCACCTGAACAATCGTGCAGCAGATGTTCGTTCGATCCTCAATTCGCTTGTCCTGTTGAGGGTCGCGGCGGCAGCATGTTGAGTCGGGTGGACGAGACCTCCCTTTCCCCGGTGACAGACTCTAGTTATTCCTAGGGAATTCCCAGTCATTCCCAGGCCAGCTGAGCGACATAGTTCCACTAGCGTGTCCTAGGTCGGTCCCGGGGTCTGCACCCAGTGGGACGTGCCTGGTAGGAAACCAGCGGAAATCTACCGGGGGGCATCTTTACCAGGTGCACGAACCACCTCAACTGGCTCCTCTCGACCCGGAGGAGCAGCAGCTCGGCTCTGAGGCTCTCCCGGATTACTGATCTCGGCAACCGTGCAGAGAAACCTCATTTTGGCCCCTTGTACCTGCGATCTCATCCTTTCGGTTATTACCCAAAACTCATGACCATAGGCGAGGGTGGGACTGTAGATCGACCTGTAAACGACAGCTTTGTTCGAGAACTCAGCTCCCACTTAATTACCACAGAATGGTACAGCACCCGCAACACTGCGGACGCCGCACCGATCTGCCGGCCAATCTCCCGTTCCCACTTACCACTCGCAAAAGAGACCCTGAGGTACTTAAACTCCTCCACGAAGGGTAGCTCTTTCCCCCCCTCACCTGGAGAGCACAATCCACCGTCTCCCGGGAGTGAACAATGACCTCAAGTGCTCATCCTCATCTCAGCCGCTTCACAATCGGCATCAAACTGTTCAAGTACACGCTGGAGATCACAGACTGATGAAGAAAAGAAGACGTCATCTGCAAACACCAGTGCGCCTTGATATCCTGTCCATGAAAATCACAAACAGGGGTGGAGACATGACGGTCTTCTTCAGGTGGAGAAAAAGCAAGAAGGCCGCTTGTGTTGCGATCGAAAAAAAGAACTTTTCTCTCCACCTGAAGAAGACCGCTTGTGTTGCGATCGAAAAAAATAACTTTTCTCTCCACCTGAAGACCGCTTGTGTTGCGATCGAAATGTCGTGGGTTTTTTTTGCTTTAAATTTAGATCTTTGTTTTATATCTACGTCATTTTACCGAAAGAACCAAGAACATGAATTCCTGAAGTCACGAAAGTTTTAAGTCAAAATTTAGCTGGTCCATTGTTCCACGAACCTGACGAAATCCACATTGTTCCTCCTGAATCTGAGGCTAGACCACCGGGCGGAGCCTCCTCTCCAGCACTCTGGCATAGGCTTTACCTGGAACGCTGAGGAGTGTGACCCCTCTGTAGTTCGGAGCACACCCTCTGGTCCCATTTCTGAAAAATGGGGACCATGACTCCAGTTTGCTAATTCAGAGGTACTGTACCCGCCGTCCATGTAACATTGAAAAGGCGTGTAAACCACAACACTCCTACACTGTCCAGCACTTTCAACAACTCTGGGCCAATCTCGTCCACCCCAACAGCTTTGCCGTTACGAAGGCCCTCGACTGCCGCAGCGACTTCAGCAGGCGTACTGGATCCAACCCCCCCCTCCCCATCTACTTCCAGGGCTGCCTCCTGAGAGGAAGGCATGGACACGTGGCTAAGGAGTTCCTCAAAGTGTTCCTTTCACCTCTCGACTATCTCCTTAACTTGAGTTCAATGCTACGCCACCCTTACTGAGAACAGCCTGGGCCAGGTCCCGTCGACCCCTCCTAAGGCGTCAGATGGTTTGCCAACTGCCTTCAGGCCACAGATTTTCGCAGCTGCATCGACAATTAAGGTCCTGAACATCGTCCACTCGGACTCAATGTCTATGACCTTCCCTGAAGTGCAAAAGTTTACCCAGAGGTGGCAATTGAAATCTTTCTGCATTGGGTCTCCCGCCAGACGTTCTCAGAAAAGCCGCACTATTCGTTTGGGCCTTCCACGTCTATCTGGTCGGTGCCCCAAGCGTCGGATCCAACTTACCAACAGGTGGTAATTAGTTGACAGCACTGCCCCTCTCTTCACCCGAGTGTCCAGAACATACGCCCTTAGGTCAGGTGATACAACTATAAAGTCAAACATTGACCTTTGGGCCCAAGGTGCTCTGGTACCAAGTACACGTATGAGCATCCTTGTGTTCGAACACGGTGTTTGTTATTGACATTCCGTGACTAGCGCAGAATTCCAATAAAATCTCCCCATTCGGGTTCAAATCAGCGGGGCCATTCCTCTCAATCACGCCTCTCCAGGTATCTCTATCGTGCAGCAGATGCCACCCTAGATATGCCCTTATGTGGTAGCCCATTGCACTATGACCCTGCTCGCAGATATCTAGGGGTTATGGATAAAAGTCTGACCTTCAAGCCTCACACAACAGACCTTTGAAAAACAAAAAAATCCCCTGCTACAGAAATGTGTAGGAATAACCTGGGGCGCTTCAGCTTAAGTGCTGAAAACTGCTGCCCTATCATTGCTGTGATCAATAGCAGAGTACTGAGCTCCAGCCTGGTACGGGAGCTCGTACACAAAACTTCTATAGGCACAACTGATTAACGTGATGTGCATTATAACCGAAACACTGAAACACCAATCCCCTGGATCCTGTTCTGGTCAACATTTTGCAATGAAATATGCACTCAGATGTGCAAGCTTAAAGAGAGTTTACATGTTTTCTTGCCAATGACAACCTACTCATCAACCAAGACCTCAAAAGTGTACATTACCTTGCCACCGACTCAAGTCCCGATCCCCCTTCTGGGATCGTCTTGTCACCATCCTAAAATATCACTGAGATCCCGAAGAACACTGGCGAACAAAGTGGAACGACGTGCAAATCCAAAAAAAACACCTCATTCAAGACCCAAACATTGCACCTTTTGGCTTTGACATTTCTCGAAGACACTGATGCACCATCAACCACGTGGAAATTTAAAGAAAAGCCACAGTAGTGCGATTGTGGCCATGCAACTCATTTCGTAAACCACTAATCTGCGCTACTTCAATGGAGAAATAGCAAAGCTACACAAACTCTCATGAAGCCCTCTTGTGGCGAGCAGACCTTGACACTGGCATTTAGCTACTGAACATATTGCTATCATACACAAGAATAGAATAGTGGCATGTGCCCATTGGCTAGTTGATCGTATGGAGGAACTATAAAAGACGCGACCACACAGCAAAGAATAGAGGCCCAGGAATACCACTCGTAAACAAGACATTATCAGCTCATCAACCCAATACGAACCACACAGCCTGTGGGAGACAACCAAGTGATTGAGGCCCACTGTGAGTACAACCTATTTGAAGCTAGGAGAGGCTTACTAAAAAGGGTATTCCAAGTTGTGAGTTAGATCTTTGGGGTTTCTTCAGTGGTGCATGGGTGGCTGGCTGAGGTGAGCCACAGAAGCAGCCACACAGTCGGGGTAAGGGCAGGGGTGCGTTCTGGAGTGGGTGCAGGGTAGGCAGACCCTGGCACGAGCAGCTACCCGTATTTCCTTGGTGATGCCAATCCTTAAGAGGATGAAGCATGCTCACCATAGGGACGGTTGGGTTGCCTACCTTGATTTTGTAAGCGTGGTGGCACGGCGGTTACCTGTGAACGCGGAAATTGTGGTTGCATGTAGATAAGACTTTGGCCAAATGAACGCATGTGCTGGTAACGCTGTAAAGGGACTAATAACGGTTCTGTGGAGGACAGCAGAGTTCTGTCACTGGTTTTTGCAAGCTTATGGGAAGCATTTTGGCTTGTGTCAGCAATAGGGGTGGGTGATAGGGTGCATGTTTAGGTAGGGGAGCAGTAGTGTAGCGGTTAGCACACTGCGCTACAAACCTAGCAACGAGAGTTCGATTCTAGCTCATGGCCAAGAGCAGTGATGATTATCGGAATGAGTCCTGGGCCGCTCCTAGGCCGACTCAGCCTCAAATGAGTATCTAATGTGATGTAAAACCATTGCCACTCGGAAGACAAAAAGGCGGCCGGGCGTGGTGCTGAGCATCCACCTCCTCGTGTGCCGTGCTGGCCTTCATAGGTGCTCAGTAACAGCACTTGCCCCAAGAATCTGTACAAACTAGAAGGGGGATATTTGTCTTTGTACAATGCATCTGTTTTAGCCCTACCTCACTTGGGCGGTTGGTTGCACAAAATTGGTGGAATTGTGAAGTTGAGCAGCACAACAATGGTCTATCGGAGCGTAGTTTTGTCCCAAATCCCGCAGCACTGCTAACCCCACCACTCGTCCCCATTATGCACCGTCGTTCCAGCTGGCAGGATTATATTAGTGGTGCGGGATATAAAGTCAGTCCGCCACAACGCCTCTCAGCTTGAAGTACGCATCCACTTTAGCCACCTTGTTTGTGATCACGTCAGTACACCCCCTTCGAGGCGACAAGCGATACTGCGCTACAACCCAGAAACGCATTGAACATGATCGCACGCTACCGTAGGTTTGTCAGCACAATAGACATCAACGCCGACCTTCAGTACATACCTCTTTATATAAAACCCAGGGGTGACATGGGGAAGGGTATGAAGTGAGAACGAGTCATGGGGATCTGGAGGTTAGGGGGACGAGGAGGTGCTAGTCAGGGTCCTCTCTGGCTTCTTTCCCTTAGAAAGGCTTGACACCTGTTTGAGAAGTTCCCGGTTCTTCACCTGAATGCACAAAGACAAACTTACATTATCGACCATGATCTATCTACTCCTGGACGAAGGCCTCTCTCACGGTTTCGCGATGTAAGGATCCACCTAACACCTTCACACGGGCCGATTTCCCCAAGTCACTGGGTTCGTAGCGCAGTGGGCAAAACCACTGCACGAAAACTCACAATTTTTACATGTATAAATATTCACACACATTTCGACGAGTATGCACTCAGCAGGCTAGGTGTGATGCAGTTACAGTGTTCAACTCACAATTGGAGGGTCCCAACTTCAAACTGTAGTTGAGGATCGACTGAGCCCATCATCCCTCCCAGATCAACAAACTGAGTACCATATTGTGGGAAAGTTGACAGAAGCCTTCATGTGTACAGATTGCCCTCCTCTATGGGAATATGCAATTTTCACCATTGGCTCACGGCTATGGACAGAAATGCGCACCGCCCCATTGCTCAGTTGAACAGGAAGGTGCTTGGCCTTGCCTTTGATTGGCCGGTAATTGGTCATTGTGGGTGGGATAACTGTGCTGTCACCACTGGTTACCTGGAGATGCTCAATGGATTCCTTGTGCGTGCGCTCCATGTTGTTCATCTTGGTTCGGATCAGATTCTCCTGGTACTGGAAGTCGGCCTTGATCTCTGTGAGCTACATACGCAGGCACACACATACAAAGAGCTACTGTATAGCCTGCACAGACTGTTGGAGTAAGTGCTGTTGGTGAGCAGTTATGAAGGCCAGAGCGGTACACAAGGGCCAGCACCACACCCCACTGCCTTTTGTCTCCCGAAGTGGCAATGTTGACAAACCACACCAGGAACTAATTTGAGGCTGAGTCGACCTAAGGGAGGCCCAGGACCGGTTCAAATATTCATTACTGGTGTTGGCCATGGGCAGGAATTGAACTCGGGTCGCCGGGGTTCGTAGCGTAGCGTGCTAACCGCTACGCTACGCTACTGCTCACACACAGGCAGAGGGACACGTAAACAAGTTCGGCGTCGCCAGGAGACGGTGCGGCACGGATCGCGAGCCGCAAGCACGGTGGGGGGGGGAGGACGAGGGGAGCGGTGGCGAGCGGTGCCACCCACCTTGCGATCTCTCTCCAGGATGAGCCCCTCCTTCTGCTGGAGCTGCTTCTTCAGCAGAGCCACCTCCTCCTTGAGCTGAGTGATCAGGATGAAGTTGTCCGAGCTCGCCGAGTCCATGGTGGCGTCACCGGATACGCTGCACCACGCACGAGTGACACGCAATAGCGGCCGGCCGAGCGTCAGTAGATGCTCGGAAAGAACAGTGCCTCGCGCTGACGCGAAGTGACGCGGCGATCCACGGGGAGGAGGGGAAAGCGGTGCGGGAGGCTGAGTGCATGAGCCAAATATAAACCAAACACTCGCCCTGCACCTAATCTAAGCTACTCGCCAGCCATCGTGCCAACCAGCCACGAGTTGTTTGTGCTTCTCAAAGTCCTGACTCACCACTCACACTGCCACTCGTGTGAGTTGAAACCCTAATCAACTACCTTAACGGTCACGATTATTGGCCCTAAGCATAAACCTAACTAACCAGCTACTAGCACTAGCATTCACACTGACCCTATACCCTTAACCCAAGTCTGGTGTTTCTCCAGGGCTTCAGTACGCATTCAGTCGCATCCGTTTTGGTTTTCACAGCACCGCAATACTTCTAGCACAAAAATATCAGACACCCGTACACTGTGTTGTTTAGTACCGCATAGCATTGCATCGTACCGTACATTAGCGTGCAGTTTAGTATTGTATAATATTGCAATGCGTTGCATGGACGAGTATTGTGTGGTATTGAATCTGCAAGCACAGGTGTCTCCGTGGATGGGCACGTGAGCCCTGTGTGGGTGCAGGGGGGCTGCTCGCCTGTCTCCATTGCTGGGTTTGTTCTCCACCTTGGGCTTCTTCTGCGGGGGATCGTTCTGGGAGGCAGGGCCAGGAGACTTGTGGCTGAGAACGTCACAACACGGCACACACATGTAGGTTATACTCGTGTGCTGGGCGTACTGGCAGTGTGTGCTGGGCGTACTGGCAGTGTGTGCTGTGTGCACTGTGTGTGCTGGTTGCGCTATATGTACTTTGCATGCTTGTATACGGTGTGTACTATGCTTGCTGGCGGTGCGCGTACTGTGTGCAATGGCTGTGTGTATTGTGTGCACTGTACATACTGTGTGTTCTGTTTACTGGCTATGTGCAGTGTACTGTGTGCACTCGCTGAGTGGTGTGTACTATGCATACTGTGTGAGCTGTGTGCTTGTGTACAGTATGGTCTCTGTATGTGCTCGTGTACGGTGAGTCCTACACGTACTGTCGGTGCGTGTGCTGTTCCTTGCGCGCCCCATGCCGCTCGTCCTGGGAGGAGCGGTGCTGCGCTGCCCCCAGCCCTCGGTGCTGCTCTTTGGCCTTCTGCAACACGCGGCGGTATGACAGCGTGCACAACCAGCACAGCAGCTTCCCGTCCACCTACAAACAGCAGAAACAGAGCACAGCACCTGTACAGTACATGTAGCACATGCAGAGTATACGTGACACAACCCACCCATGGCATTGCAGCTGCCGATCTTCCTAGAAACAGGAGCACAGAACACAGCACCTGTACAGTACATGTAGCACATGCAGAGTATACGTAACACAACCCACCCATGGCATAGCAGCTTCCTGTCTACCTAGAAACAGGAGCAGAGCACAGCACCTGTATAGTGCGTGCAGCACACGCAGCATACATAGCACAACTCACACACAGCACAGCAGCGTCCCATACACCGAGAGACAGCACACATACAGCATATATAGCACACACACAGCATAGCAGCTTTCTGTCGACCTGACAACAGCATAAAGCACAGCTTACATGTGTAGTGTAGTAGAACGACACTACTGTGTTGGCTCGGTATGGGGGCTGTAGGCGGGTGTCACGGAGGTTGTGTCAGGCCGTGACACTATGCGTGAACCCAACAGGACACGTGACCGGATAAAGGGGGGCCAGGGGCTCCAGGGGGGTCACGTGGTTGGGGGCTCGGGCCTTCCCGAAGGATCGGGAAGGGGGGCGTGGCCTGGGGCTGAGCCGGCCACGCCAGGGTGGTTATAAGCGGGGTGTGGACGGAGAGCTGGGCTGTTCTGCGCTGTTCTGCTGGGTCAACTCTGGGATGAAGCCAACATCTACGATCCTCGGTCTCCGGTCCAGTGATGTAGTATCCCCGTGTGTTAGCTAAGTAGGAACGGTGGTTACCACCCTATGTCGTTATCCTGTTAATGTTAAGAGTTACCCGTTGTGTTTAGATGATAAAGTGTTGTCTCCAAAGTCCAGTGTGCGCCTGAATTTAACCGACTACACATGGCATACACAACATACAACACTAAGCACCTACAGCCAAGAGGCAGTGCTTAAAACAACGTGGTGTTCTTGCACTTTAATTGCACGCAGGTGAAACGCTGCCATAGCGCTCAACATCTAAGCATCTGCCTGCTCTAACTTGCAACAGGGTGGTCTCTTCTCCAATGGCAGCCCTGAGCCGGTAGTCGGACGCCAGACCCGAAGAATGACCACTGTTGCAGTCCCACAGAGCGGTACTCATATTACTAAACCCATAGAGTTAATAGAAAAAGGATTCTTGAATTTAACTGTTGACCCGATTCATGGCAATTAATAAATTCATGTGGTAAGGGGAAAATGTGACATGCCTCTTGTCAACGAATTTTGTTACCGGAGCGCATCAGTTGCCTCTTTGGCCATGGCTACAATTTATTATTTTTAGCGAAGCCGCAAAGTCTTGTCGAATACACAGCGTAGGAACACGTCGGCAACATGTGCTACATTTTTTGTTTTCTAATCGAAAGGCATGGCGGAGTGCGTGGCCGCACCTTCTTCTTGCTGTCGTCCTTGCGGTCGAAGGCGCACCTCTGCTTGCACTGCTCGCAGGCGAGGGGCAGCCCATACTTCTTCTCCGAGTTGGTGCAGCGCTGGCACTTGGTGCCGATGAACGCCGCGATTATGTTACAGTACTGGCACGGCTTGGGCTGCGTGCACCACACGAGCACAAGCTGTCGTCAACGCCGAGCCACGGAAAATGGCACCGTCCAGAGGTGGGCTGTGGCTGGGTTGTTTGTGCAATGAAGCATAATAATGTGAATGATTTCAGCAGTCAACGGCATCGAAATAGGCACCATTTAACATCAACAACATAAGAAAAACATTTCCAAATAAAAATTAAAATCTTCCGATTGTACCATTGGGGTCATGTCATGTGAAAAAAATGTCCATTCAGAACTATTGTACAGTAATGGATTGACCTGTGTGTGTTACAGAACAGTCCATGGAAAGTGATATTATACAACTGCTTCCCAGATCTCTTCGAGTTACCTTTTTATCCATACACTGTCCACCAGAAAAGTGTTCATCACATGGCAGTCAAACCGATATCGAATCTCAGAGCCTGAATTCACCCAAATTAAGTGAAAAACCCAGACATAATACATGTTTTTTTGAGTGTGCAGTATATGGCAACTGGGCTGAAACCATCAACCCACTATACTTGACAACCCAGTATAATCATAGGAACTAGAAACCCGGATTTGAACCCAGTTTCGTAGTCTGAGCCACCTCCACACCATCCCAGGGTTTAATTTTTTCCCATCTCAACTACCAACTTAGAAAATGTAATTATTCACAGAAGCAACCCAAGAAACAAACCGCTTTGTTGATACGTAACTTGAAGATACATATTTTTGGTTGTGACCTAGGCTTCCTGACAGGTTACTACAAAATCACTGTTAAGTGAGTTGCCAACACACTACAGTGATATTACTGCAGTGACGTGTGGAATGGTTCAGTAGTCAAACTGCAGTGACATCACCAGAGGGCACTGCAGTTTGTCACCTTAAAGTTTTATTTTCCAGCAACAAAGCTTCAACAGGTTACTACAAAATCACTGTTAAGTGAGTTGCCAACACACTACAGTGATGTCACTGCAGTGACGTGTGGAATGGTTCAGTAGTCAAACTGCAGTGACATAACCAGAGGGCACTGCAGTTTGTCACCTTAAAGTTTTATTTTCCAGCAACAAAGCTTCAACAACAAAGCGTCAAACGTGTGTCATACAGCCATTGGCAAAAAGCCAAGATGCGTTTTTACACGTAAGCAGGTATTTGTTGTGACCCGTCCTCATTAGCCAGGGCACAGAGCTGGCACTGCCGAGATTCTAGGCTTGAATCCAGGTTTCAGGTTTCAACAACCTGTGATTAAACGGGGTTCTCAAGTGGACTGAGTTTATGGTCTAAGTCCAGTCACCCATGACACAAAACAAATCGTGTTAATTTTTGTTTTGCTAAATGCAGGAAATCCAGCAATGACAAATGTTGGTTGTCTGCCATGCGATGGACCTGTTTACATGATGCCACATGGGAAAGTGCAGCGTCACTCGCATGTGGATGAGAGGTGACTTGACGGGATCTCGCAAATAGTTATTTGATATCACCTTCCACGGGACTGTTCTCTAACACGGGGTGTTGTACTGCTCTGAGAGTTACAAAAATGGACATATGTATATCTCATGACATGACACCAACTTTACGTAACTTTTAAAAGGTGTGCATTGCATGTTTCTCTTCCATCCTAGTCTAAAACGTGTATGCTCATGAAAAATATTTTTTAGCGTTCAAAGATCCCCGAAACGACTCGTGGATGTTTTTGAATGCAACAAAAAATACACATACCGTGCCATACAGCTTCACGTTCTGTGCACACTTTTTGCAGATGGTGTTGGTTTTGCTGCAGGAAAAAATAAGACGCAAGTAGAACACGGGTTGAATGTGGTCAGCCTCTTTGTGTGTAGTGGGCCCTACTAAAAGAGATTTAAGATTTTGCGAAATAAAATTCGACTGGCACACAACGTTAAAGGGAAACATCACCCCCAAAATATAAATAGTTCTTATCTTGGAGAAGTGCACTCAGACTCTGGCTCCTGCGTCTTTATGATCCTCGTGTGACGTCAATGTGAAATCACTGTGCTTTCAAATGTCAATGCGGTTACGGCACAGCACCTAAACAGGCTTTTCAAGTGTTCTTTTTCTCATTTAATAAAGCTTCAACCCAGTGGCAGACTCCCCAAGGTACATAACCTGGAAATACATCTACAAGAACAGTTGATTTAGCTGTCTTCCGTTTAATAAACGAGTCCAATGTAGAACATCTTAAGTAGGAAATGGTTGGGTCGTGTTGTGTGCACAAGTAATGGTTAAAAAGAGGAAGAAACCAGTCGATTTCAAGCAGAACTCTCGCATTCTTATGTAGTGCTCATAACAAAGTTAAACATGTGCATACACACGGGTATATATATATATAACTCGACTCATAAATACATGTGTATTTGGGTGCCACTCAATATGCAAAAGTGAAGTTTCAGTTTTACGTGTTCACATCCCACTCTCAAATGATTATTTTGGTGTCAACAGCTGACAATCTCATTCAAATCTATTGACATTACAGGTTGGTCAGAATCCCCGCCTCTTCTTATGTGGCTATGCCTCGATACTATGACTATATATTGACTGTAAACAGTATTGAGGGATTGTCTTTAAAAAGCTGTGCTTCAGTTTAACAGGACAAAAAAAAATAAAACCAAGAGTAACTTAGAAAATAACAAACTTGAATTTCGGTTGGCACCCCAATACAGGCATCCCTTCATTTACGAACGTTCGGTTTACGAAATTTATCGTAAATGCAAATCGACAAATTGTGCACACTTTTCGATGAACAAAATCGAATTTCCGCTAGAACAAAATTTAACATGGCACGCGCCATGAAATCAAACCAGAACCACCCGAGAGGCTGCGTCATCCATCCGCGACAGAGTCACGGTATCTCTACAGTGCAACAGTAATGCCTCCACATCACCTTAACAGTCATTCCAACAAGCAGCTCTGTTGTGGAGTTCCCCGATTTTTATTTAACGCAATTAATTGAAGGTTTTTTATTCTTTGATTATTATTTCTGGATTGTGAAAGTGAAAAAGATGTATATTTTTAGGTTAGGAGTAGAGTTGGAATGACTCTGAAACACATCCCAATTTTTTTGTATTCATGGGAAAAGCCATTGCCATTCACCAAGTTTCGTTTTACGTGTTTTGAAGAACGTATCCCATTCGTAAATCGAGGGATAGCTGTACAGTGCATACGTGACATCAAGAGAAAGGCTATATGTCTTCCTGCTCAAATGAGCAATGGGATGGCACTCATTTCTAGACATGTAACGATTCACACTCACTGGAGTTTGATGAATTTTCATGATTTGCGGTTCAGATGGGAAATTTTCACATGTTTTTACTATCTAATTTGTTAAATTTTGATTTAAAGCTTTCGTGACCGCAATAATTCATATTCTTAGCTCTTGCGGTAAAGTCACGTTGAAGAGAAACAATAAAATCATAAAATATATATAAAACAATAAAATTATCACGACGTTTCGACCATAACACAAACGGTCGTCATCACACCCGTGCTGGTGAGAGGGGCCTGCTGTTCAGCATACCCGTGCTGGTGAGAGAGGCCTACTATTCATCACACCCGTGCTGGTGAGAGGGGCGTGCTGTTCATCACACCCGTGTTGGTGAGAGGGGCCTGCTGTTCACTCCCATGCTGGTGAGAGAGGCCTACTGTTCATCACACCCGTGTTGGTGAGAGGGGCCTACTGTTCAACACACCAGTGCTGGTGAGAGAGTCCTGCTGTTCAGCACACCCGTGCTGGTGCGAAGATGGCGCTGATGATGGTAGCCTCAGCCGGTCGGTGCGCCCTGTTTTGTCTGTCAATTCAGTGTTTTGCCAAGATTTTCAGAGTTCTCTAACAAGAGACGAACTTTTAAATATCAGGGAAACAACTCCTGTGGATTTAATTCCTACTTTTCTGCTTCCAGCGGCAGAATTAGTAGGCATTCTAGTCAATGCCGCGCTAGGCTTTGCTCAAGCAACGAAACGCCGCCCAAGGGGTAAACGGTCGGGGGCTCTAGTACGGCTACGCAGACGCGGGATCCGAACAGTGCTTCCGAGCTTTTTCCTCTCCAACGTACGTTCACTGTACAACAAAATGGATGAACTTCAGCTACTGATGGTAAAAAACAAAGACTTTCTTTCAGCTTCTGCATTGTGCTTCACGGAAACATGGCTGTGTGATTTGATTACGGACACTTCGCTACAACTAGCAGGATTCCATCTTGTAAGATCGGATCGTGACATAGCACTCTCCGGCAAGACGAAAGGCGGTGGTATTTGTTTTCACATTAACAGTGGCTGGTGTGTAGATGTCACAGTGATTCTGCAACATTGTTCTCCACTCCTTGAATCAATTTTTATAACCTGTAAATCGTTTTACTCGCCTCGCGAGTTCGCGTCGCTCATTTTGGTCGGAGTTTATTTGCCGCCTTGTCCTCAGGTTAAAGAGGCCCAACGCATGCTCGCCGATCAGATTCTGAGTGTGGAGCGAGCAAATCCAGATTCGTTGGTTATCGTACTTGGCGAATTTAACAAAGGTAATCTCAGCCACGAACTCCCCAAATACATACAATTCATTAAATGCCCAACCAGAGAAGGGAACACTCTGGATCACTGCTACACTACAGTCAGTAGAGCCTACCACGCCGTCCCCCGAGCAGCACTAGGACACTCTGACCATGCCATGGTCCACCTGATTCCTGCATACAGGCAGAAACTAAAACTCTGTAAACCTGCTGTGAGGACATCTAAACAGTGGACCAGTGAGGCTGTGGAAGATTTGCGGGCGTGCTTAGACTGTACTGATTGGGATATGTTCACGACTGCTACCAATAGTCTGGATGAACTCAGAGGCTGTGACGTCCTACATCAGCTTCTGTGAGGACTGCTGTATCCCAACACGTACCAGGGTTAACTTTAACAACAATAAGCCCTGGTTCTCAGCAAAGCTCAGAAGGTTGAGGTTGGAGAAGGAGGAAGCGTTTCGGAGTGGAGATAGAGACAGATTCAAGGAGTCGAAGAACAGGTTTAGCAAAGCGGTGAGAGAGGCTAAACGACTGTACTCAGAGAGACTAAAACACCAGTTCTCTACAAACGACGCTGCTTCTGTCTGGAGAGGGCTCAGGCAGATCACCAACTACAAACCCAGAGCCCCCCACACCACTAACGACTCCCGCCTAGCCAACGACCTGAACGAGTTCTACTGTAGATTTGAAAGACAATTGGACTGTCCTGAACCACCCCTTCCGACCCAAGAGGCTCCATCCCCCACCAATACTACAGAGACGACTATCTCCTTTCAGGAGGGAGAAGTTAATAGACTTTTCAAGAGGCAGAATCCACGCAAAGCAGCCGGGCCGGACTCTGTCTCTCCAGCCACCCTCAGGCACTGCGCTGACCAGCTGTCTCCGGTGTTCACCAACATCTTTAACACCTCCCTGGAGACATGCCATGTACCAGCCTGTCTCAAGTCCTCCACCATCATCCCTGTGCCCAAAAAGCTAAGGCCAACAGGACTAAATGATTACAGACCGGTCGCCCTTACATCTGTGGTAATGAAGTCTTTTTGAGCGCCTGGTCCTGGCACACCTCAAAGCCATCACAGACCCTCTCCTGGACCCCCTTCAGTTTGCCTACAGAGCCAACATGTCTGTTCAAGCAGAACTCTCGCATTCTTATGTAGTGCTCATAACAAAGTTAAACATGTGCATACACACGGGTATATATATATATATATAACTCGACTCATAAATACATGTGTATTTGGGTGCCACTCAATACGCAAAAGTGAAGTTTCAGTTTTACGTGTTCACATCCCACTCTCAAATGATTATTTTGGTGTCAACAGCTGACAATCTCATTCAAATCTATTGACATTACAGGTTGGTCAGAATCCCCGCCTCTTCTTATGTGGCTATGCCTCAATACTATGACTATATATTGACTGTAAACAGTATTGAGGGATTGTCTTTAAAAAGCTGTGCTTCAGTTTAACAGGACAAAAAAAAATAAAACCAAGAGTGACTTAGAAAATAACAAACTTGAATTTCGGTTGGCACCCCAATACAGGCATCCCTTCATTTACGAACGTTCGGTTTACGAAATTTATCGTAAATGCAAATCGACAAATTGTGCACACTTTTCGATGAACAAAATCGAATTTCCGCTAGAACAAAATTTAACACGGCACGCGCCATGAAATCAAACCAGAACCACCCGAGAGGCTGCGTCATCCATCCGCGACAGAGTCACGGTATCTCTACAGTGCAACAGTAATGCCTCCACATCACCTTAACAGTCATTCCAACAAGCAGCTCTGTTGTGGAGTTCCCCGATTTTTGTTTAACGCAATTAATTGAAGGTTTTTTATTCTTTGATTATTATTTCTGGATTGTGAAAGTGAAAAAGATGTATATTTTTAGGTTAGGAGTAGAGTTGGAATGACTCTGAAACACATCCCAATTTTTTTGTATTCATGGGAAAAGCCATTGCCATTCACCAAGTTTCGTTTTACGTGTTTTGAAGAACGTATCCCATTCGTAAATCGAGGGATAGCTGTACAGTGCATACGTGACATCAAGAGAAAGGCTATATGTCTTCCTGCTCAAATGAGCAATGGGATGGCACTCATTTCTGTGTGAATCGTTACATGAACCTGCTGTGAGGACATCTAAACAGTGGACCAGTGAGGCTGTGGAAGATTTGCGGGCGTGCTTAGACTGTACTGACTGGGATATGTTCACGACTGCTACCAATAGTCTGGATGAACTCACAGAGGCTGTGACGTCCTACATCAGCTTCTGTGAGGACTGCTGTATCCCAACACGTACCAGGGTGAACTTTAACAACAATAAGCCCCGGTTCTCAGCAAAGCTCAGAAGGTTGAGGTTGGAGAAGGAGGAAGCGTTTAGGAGTGGAGATAGAGACAGATTCAAGGAGTCGAAGAACAGGTTTAGCCAAGCGGTGAGAGAGGCTAAACGACTGTATTCAGAGAGACTAAAACACCAGTTCTCTACAAACGATGCTGCTTCTGTCTGGAGAGGGCTCAGGCAGATCACCAACTACAAACCCAGAGCCCCCCACACCACTAACGACTCCCGCCTAGCCAACGACCTGAACGAGTTCTACTGTAGATTTGAAAGACAATTGGACTGTCCTGAACCACCCCTTCCGACCCAAGAGGCCCCATCCCCCACCAATACTACAGAGACGACTATCTCCTTTCAGGAGGGAGAAGTTAATAGACTTTTCAAGAAGCAGAATCCACGCAAAGCAGCCGGGCCGGACTCTGTCTCTCCAGCCACCCTCAGGCACTGCGCTGACCAGCTGTCTCCGGTGTTCACCAACATCTTTAACACCTCCCTGGAGACATGCCATGTACCAGCCTGTCTCAAGTCCTCCACCATCATCCCTGTGCCCAAAAAGCTAAGGCCAACAGGACTAAATGATTACAGACCGGTCGCCCTTACATCTGTGGTAATGAAGTCTTTTGAGCGCCTGGTCCTGGCACACCTCAAAGCCATCACAGACCCTCTCCTGGACCCCCTTCAGTTTGCCTACAGAGTCAACATGTCTGTGGACGATGCAGTTAACATGGCCCTCCACTTCACCCTACAGCATCTGGACGCCCCAGCATCCTACGCCAGGATCCGGTTTGTGGACTTCAGCTCTGCCTTCAACACCATCATTCCTGCCCTGCTTCAGGACAAGCTCTTCCAGCTGAACGTGCCATACACCACCTGTAAATGGATCACAGACTTCCTGTCTGACAGGAAGCAGTGCGTTAAGCTGGGAACACAAGTCTCTGACTCCAGGTCCATCAGCACCGGAACTCCTCAGGGCTGCGTCCTTTCCCCTCTGCTCTTCTCCCTGTATACCAACAGCTGCACCTCCAATCATCTGTCCGTCAAACTATTGAAGTTTGCGGATGACACCACCCTCATTGGGCTGATCTCTGGTGGGGATGAGTCTGACTATAGGTGGGAAGCTGACAATCTGGTGACCTGGTGTAGCCAGAACAACTTAGAGCTAAATGCTCTAAAGACAGTTGAGATGGTTGTGGACTTCAGGAAGAATACAGCACCACTCACCCCCATCACCCTGTTAGACTCCACAGTCAAAATTGTAGAGTCCTTCCGCTTCCTTGGCACTATTCTCTCCCGGGACCTCAAGTGGGAATTGAATATCATCTCCCTCACCAAGAAAGCTCAACAGAGGATGTACTTTCTACGGCAGCTGAAGAAATTCAACCTGCCAAAGACAATGATGGTGCAATTCTATACAGCGATCATTGAATCCATCCTCACCTCCTCCATAACCGTCTGGTACGCTGCTGCCACTGCCAAGGACAAGAGCAGACTGCAGCGTATCATCAACACTGCTGAGAAGGTAATTGCCTGCAATCTACCAACCCTCGAGGACCTGCACACGACAAGGTCCATGAGGCGAGCGAGGAAGATTATGGCCGATTTTTCCCACCCTGGACACTCTCTGTTTCAGCTACTCCCCTCCGGCAGAAGGCTTCGGTCCATCAGGACCAAAACCTCACGCCATAAAAACAGTTTCTTCCCATCTGCTGCTGGCCTGTTAAACAAGGCCAAGGGCTTACACTGTTTTTAACATTTGATCTACAGAACGACACCTTGCCGATATTAACTATGTTACTCTATTTGTATTTTTTATTTTTTAATTATATCTTAAAGCTATTTTATATTCGATATTCATTTAATTTTATATACTTCAGCCCCTTGGTGTTAGACTTTTAACCCTTATTATAGTAAGACTTGTTTAAAACTTATTTAAGATTTTAGATTCCTATATGTTGAATGTATGCACCATCCTGCCAAAGTAAATTCCGTGTCGGTGTGAACTTACATGGCGAATAAAACCCTTTCTGATTCTGATTCTGATCAGGTGTGTCGGTTTGCATTAATTAATTTATTTTCGAACGTGTATTTATTTATTTATAAAAAACGTCAGCGCCACGCGCAGTGATTTGGCAGTTTATTTAGAAGGACTAGTCCATCTATGTTCTGAAAAGAGGAGGGGGGAGACGAAAAATTAATGTATGCTGTCTGAAAGCCACTGTAAGCGTGAACAATCAATTAATACCTGAAACGGTTAATCAAATCTTTCCAATGATTGCTAAGCCAGAATCCATATTCTCGGTTGAAATTGTCTCTGTGCTTGTATATGTGGATAGCCTCATGAACGAATCTCTCATGGTAGCCAGATGGCTTACAAAGAACCTCTGTCTTGAAAAAGTCAATGTCATGTGAGCCTACTGAATTATATCAATGATCTGCCACGGCCGAGGTGTTGGTCCTACCGTATTTAAAGTCTGCTTTGTGTTCACGAATGCGGTCCGAGACATGGCGTTTGGTTTCTCCAATGTAACTACTACCACAAAATCTTGAATAAACACAAGATCCAGGTCCGTTTCAATACATTACATAAAATCCGTGATCTGGTTCCGTCTGTAAAAGATGTGATTCCTGACATACAGTACCCTAGTGTCTACAAACTAAGTTGCCTCTGTTGTAGTAGTTACATTGGAGAAACCAAACGCCATGTCTCGGACCACATTCGTGAACACAAAGCAGACCTTAAACACGGTAGGACCAACACCTCGGCCGTGGCAGATCATTGTTATAATTCAGTAGGCTCACATGACATTGACTTTTCCAAGACAGAGGTTCTTTGTAAGCCATCTGGTTACCATGAGAGATTCGTTCATGAGGCTATGCACATATACAAGCACAGAGACAATTTCAACCGAGAAGATGGATTCTGGCTTAGCAATCATTGGAAAGATTTGATTAACCATTTCAGGTCTTAATTGATTGTTCACGCTTACAGTGGCTTTCAGACAGCATACATTAATTTTTCGTCTCCCCCCTCCTCTTTTCAGAACATAGATGGACTCGTCCTTCTAAATAAACTGCCAAATCGCTGCGCGTGGCGCTGACGTTTTTTTAATAAATAAATACACCGTTTAAAAATACATAAATTAATGCAAATCGACACACCTGATGACGACCGTTTGTGTTATGGTCGAAACGTCGTGAGAATTTAATTGTTTTATATATTTTATCATTTTATTGTTTCCTTTCAACGTGACTTTACCGAAAGAGCTAAGAATATGAATATCTAATTTGTATTCTCATTTGTCTTGTTTATACTGTTTTATTCATGTCATTGGCCTTCACGTCACATGAGCTTATAATTTTCCGACATTGTCAATAATCGGTTATCATGTGCATGTGTCAAATGTTTAAAACATTAATCAATACATAGTTACATACCTACCAAATTATATTTCCAGCCCCTGAGCTTGTGCTGAAAATTCCACATTTCCATGGCAGGGCCAAGGCTTTCCATACCATAACCAACTGCTCATGGCTCAATAAATGGTAGGAGCGTTGGCGTGCCAACTCACCCTCCAACAATGATTTTAACTTTTGATCTGCTGACTTTGACTTAAGAGCTATAACCAAAGTGTTGGCCTGCTCAAAATACATAAAAGCACACATTGCAACCGAGCGAAAAACGAAGGGTGACGAGCATGTGTGTGTGGCCTGCTCTGAGCGCCGGGCCATGCGGCCCCTCTTCCACTCTGGGGTTTCTCGAGATGCAGCAGAGCAGCTCACCTCTCCTGCTGGAACTCGGTGCGGCAGTAGGTGCACTTGACAACAGGGTGAGCGATGCGACAGTCCTGCACACAAGGGAACACACGGGGGCCACGCAGGGGCATGTGGAGACAAGTGGATGAAACTTCACAACAGTGGAGGGGGGGGGGGGCCTCAGCTCGCCTTTGGTATCCTCAGCGCTGCAGAGCCCCGTGTTGATGTTGCCCTGTAATAGTGATGTTTTTTTGTGTATTTGTGTTGTTGTTGCTGCTGTGCTGTTTTGTAAAATAGTTCGGGGGACTGGCTCAACGGGATCATCCGTGGAACAAATGAACTTAAACAGTGTGCGGCACATGTCTTATGTGGAAATCCACCACTTGCTTACCCTAGCTGCTGCCGAGATCCTCATCCATGGCTTCACGCTATTGCAAGGTCCTCAGTTCTCTCATCTTCAAACTCCAGTTGATCCAAAACTCTGCTTCCAGACTCCTCACCTGCACCCATGATCGAGATCACAGGACTCCAATACTCCAGTTTCTCTATTCACTCCCAATTCTATCCCGGATCAATTTCAAGATCTTACTCACCGTCTTCAAGATGGACTCGTCCTTGCCTACTCGGCTCATCTCATTCTACTCCCCTCTACATACTCCCCTTCGCGTACTCTCTGCTGCAACAACCGAGGCATTCTGTGGAAACTCCCATTCAACTGTCACTCAGAGGGATGTCGCTCATTCTCCTCTGCTGGCTCCAATCGGGAATTCCCTTCACTCCAACGGCGCGGCCGACTCTGTTGCCCCTCTTCAAGCACAGCTTCTAAATTTGTATTGGCTCTTCTGCCTATGACCGACTATACTCACATAGAGGACCAAAGGACGCATAGAGCACCATAGACTCACACACAGATGTACGACAGCTTCTGTCAATAAATATTCCCATTGTTCAACGTCTTGACATGTGGTCGCATTTAGACGCTAAGTATTCCAAATTGAATTGTATGGTGGCGTGAATCCACAGAATCTACACCAGTTTGACCATGTAGACACCAGTGACGTGCGGTGAGGTCAATGGCTGGGGAGGCACTGGCGAGTATCAGAGGCAGATTTACACACGGGGGGGAGGCGTGTCCTCACTGAGGGGGCGTGTCCTCAGAGGGGGCGTGGCTGACACGCCCCCCTCAGTGAGGCAGATGTGATAGCTGCCTCCCCTGGTGCTTTTTCATTGCAGTTTCATGACGAGACCAGCGAGCCTAAATATCTTTATACACATACGTGAAATAAGTTACCTGGAGTATGGAAGGCGAGGACATGTAATGAAGGGTTCTACAAACATCACATTGGTGACACATAGAGAGAAAGTAACAGGCACGCGCTTATTGCCCATGCTCCATCCAGTTTCTGAGGGGTTGCGCAATCAGAGGGGAGGCTGAGCTCGTCGCTGCCTCACCTCTCGTCTCTTCCTGTATTTGCAGCGGAACGCCGCAAATTTGGCGATTTTGACTCTAAAAATGATTGGAATCGTACAGAAATTAAATTAATAACACAAATTAGTGGAAAAAATATGTTTTTGTATTTGGTAGTAATTTTTTTTTTACTTTTAGTCACAGCTGTTTTCATTGGGAGTATAACAGGTGAAGCTCTGCCTCCCCTGCCTCCCCTGACCGCACGTCCCTGGTAGACACTATCGTCGTGGTGCAACTGGTGTTGTTGTCAATCCACTCTGGTTCTGTAAACATGCTTCAGTGTAAATACTGTGTTGTTACCCGAGCCCCGAGTTATCTCCTTCATCCCATTCACCACCCCCCCCCACCCAGGCCTCCTATCATTGATCCCTTTCATCTCCATCCCTATCATTGATCCCCAAATCTCCATTCCTATCATTGATCCCCAAATCTCCATTTGATTCCCTTCATCCCAATATCTCCCCTTAATCTCTTCTTGATCCCGTTAGGCTCCAATTCTCCCTTTGATTCCCACATATCCCCCTGGATCACGCTGTGATCCTATTGATCCCAAATTCTCCCCTCGACTTCCCCATCTCCATTTCATCCCAATCTTTTTTGGGTTTGACCAATGATCCCCTAATCTCCACTTGATCGCGTTAGGCTCGAAATCTCTCTTCGATTCCCCCATATCCCCTTCAACCACCGTGCTCAGGCATGGTCTCTCCCTCCACCCCACTCATCTCTCTCACCCTCATCTTATCTCCATGTATATAAAAGGCAAACTTGTGAATGTGTCTGTTCAAAATGTTTAGCGTACTTCCCGACATGCAACAAACTTGAAATTTGCCATGTGGGTACTTTCCACACTGTACACCATGCAAAAATTATAAAAATACACTTTTAGTTTTTTTTAGGGGGGGGGGGGAGCTCAATAATGAATATACTTTTTGCACGGCCAGTGAACTGTGACGTCAAATCGGTCACGTGACCCGCGCACGTGGAAGCGTAACGCATTGTAGTGTAGCGGTTAGCGCTACGCTGCGCTACGAACCCGGCGGCCCGAGTTCGACTCCCGCTCACGGCCACCACCGGTGACGATTAATTTTTTTACCGGTCCTGGGCCTCCCCTAGGTAGACTCAGCATCAAACGAGCAACTGCTCTGCTGTGTGAACTTCGCCACTGGGGAGACAAAGACGGCGGGCGTGGTGAATCCAGGTCCCGGGCGAAGCCGGGTAGTTACCGCTAACTATATATATAGTTTAACATATATATTTTACCAAGGCAAGGCCCGCTGAGCTATTACAAGGCTCTTTTTTCAGAAGCGACCTGGCCAATCACAAAAGAAAAGCCCCAACGAAGTGGCGGCTCGTCAAAATTGTATCCGACAGTAGCCGACCGCTCGAAACGCGTGGCGGTGATTCTCGACGTGGAGGGGATGGGGAACCGGAGGACCCGGAATAATATAATAAATCCACGAGACCACGAAGGATGAGGAGGAGAACACCTTTAGTTCACCCCGCCTCCCTCCCCCCGCCTGCCCCCCCGTCCCCCACCTTGCACAGCTGCTGGCTCTGGGAGAGCTCCTCGAAGGGGAATCTCTGGTGACACTTGGTGCAGGCGTACAGAGCGGACATCGCGGTGATGGTGGTAGCAGCGAGACGAAGTGATGGTGGTGGGGGGAGAAGAGACCGGGAACGATCCTAGCGATTTCTGCATGCCGATTAACTATCGAAATCGATTCCCGCGTTAGTTATAAAGCCAAAACGCGTTGTCGCGAATCGCCTGAGGCATCGACTGCTCGTAGATTCTCGATTCGACACGTGTTTAGACCGCAGTGTGTTTTACACCGCCACTGTACACGTGTACAGTACGGCTTTTTGCCACTCCACTGCTGGATAAGCGTTCGCTGTGCAGTAACCTTGTGTTGAATAATACCAGAGTCGAAGCACATTCGTAACGGGTTACACCGCTGCGTAGTCTATGCATTCGCATTACTTTAGACTGTGCCGATTCGTTCACCCCGCCACAATGCATTTCGTATGGGTACTGTCTAAATGTGTCCGCATCTCAAGGCCCCGCACATAAACCGTGGGTATATTTATTTTATAGCGTAAGAGGCAGTCATAGGTTGACGCGAAGGAGATGGAAGCTCTTGGGCGTGTGAGCAGGTGGGATGGGGAGGGGTGGGGAGTTCCAGACCTTAGGGCCAGCAGAGGAGAATGAGCGACTTCCCACTGAGCGGCGAGCTGTGTGGTAAGGAAGTTTTGTGGATGCGAGAGACGTTGCGCAGATGCAGGCACGAGGTCCTGCGTAGTTGGAAGATGCGTGTTTAAATGGAACGATCAGAGAGCTCCGGGGATCTCGGTTTTTTTTTTGCTGTTCGCCAATTGTGCTGAAGAGTTTGGGAGGCGCACGTTTCGACCGCAGTTTGTTACGGAGAGCGTCGCTTTGCCGACAACTTCAGTTTTAGGTTAAGAGTTTGCACCAATTCAACATCGGTTAAACGCCACCTCCCAATAGCACGGTTGGCTACGTACGCTGCGAAATAAGTTCAACATACGTACAGCCTCTAAGGCCACGTCAAGGCAGGATGCGAGAGTGGACGGAGTCGATTGCGATGCCGAGCTGGCCTTTGGCAGCATGGAAATGATGATCGACATCACAGCTGCAGAGGTGGCGCTTTCTAAGAAACAGGAGATAATTTTAGAAGAGCAGGGGACCTAGGATGGATTATTGTGGCACACCCACACAGCACTGGAGTTTCTCAGAGGCAGTGGTGCCCTAGTTATGGGCATTGAAGGAGCTGATTGAGGTCTAAGGGCAGGAGAGGAGTGACATGGAAAACTCCTACATGGTTATGGAGAAAGTCAAGGAAGATTGAGTGGCAGAGAGACCCAAGTTGCTCAATGTTCAATCATGACCCTGTACTCGTTCTGGGCGACTGGATAAACGGGACCATCGGTGTGACAAATCAAATGAATATAAATTTAGGATGTCCAGGAGAGAACCGTGGTTTGAGGCGAGAAGTTCATCTACCACACGTAGGAGTCTTTGAGTATAATTTATAGAAGAAACCGGATTGTACTGGGTAATAAGAGACCACGGAGAGATGGGAGTGCATATATGTAAAGTCCTAGGAACAATAATCCATTGTAGGACTTCTTAGGGGATGTAAATTATGAGCAAACCTGTGAGTTTTCAGGTCCATACGGCGTACAGCCGTTACAATACGGGCAAAACACACGTGTTGGTGTTTCTCTCCTTGTGATGGGACTTTGTAGGATGAACGTTGATATTAATAAAGGCACGGGGTTACCAATAAGGTCTGTACGAAGATAGGCACTGACAATAAGGAGTTCACAGGTATGTATTAGGGATGTTGGAGGCCCACGTGGGGTTTTTTTCAGGATGGGAGCTCAGCAGGCTTGAGAGCTTGCATGAGATGGAGGCATTGTACCGTAGCTGTGCTGTGATTCATCCATTATTGCAAACATGATGCCTTGAATAAAGGTGTCAGTTTGTGCCAGTTAAAAGGGTAAAACCTATCCCTATATCCAGACATATATGAATTAGCATATAAAGCGAACATCGATTTGTCGCGAGTGCGATTCCATCCGTATATTGGCGCATTAGAATCGATGCGCAAGGATTCGAATATCGTATATTGAATATCCAACACTACCAATCTACAAACATATCGATTCATACGTTTGTAATTACAAACATACTTTCCAGCGTAACCCCCTCATTTAATTATCTAAAACGTAATATTTCTAACGGTGTGAATAAAAAAAACAACGAACATTCAAAGGAAATTTGTTTTAGGGGTCAATTAATTGGGAGTCACAAAACAAATCTGGAACACCCTGTACTTATACCGTCTTTGTACAGCACGGTATATAGTTGGAATCTAGAATGTCCTTTTGAATCTATGGAATCTACACAGGCGTTCATGAATAACAATATACACGGTATAGCATCTGTAGTGATGTGACTCTCTTCTCGTAAAATATGAATGGATGATTTTTATTGGTATTAAAAAAAACACTAGTAGCACGTGCATTAAAGACTGTTGTATACATTTGTCAAGTAATTTGCACTAGAAGTACAATACAGCAAAGCAAAAATAATGAAAATGCAATAGAAAAGTTACGGGAAACTGAATACCGTGATAATCATCAAATCGTAACCATCTAATATCGTCTCGTGCATTTGTAAAACACCTCCTGGTCGACTAAGTCTCTCCCATTGTCTGTCGTCGCCACACCTTTAATAATAATTTTAATTTATCATAGTGCATTCCATCCTAGGATGCATGGAAATCAAAAAATAAAAACAACCAGGTCAACCGACCAAACTGAAGAGTGAAGGCCACTTTAAAGAGACGGCTTTTCAAAACAGACTTAAATATACCTACCGACGCTTGGGTGCCACGCGAACAAAAAGCCGGGTCGCCAAAAATAGCGCAAACTAGAGACCCTGGGATTGCTGAGCAGTTGGAGATCAGAAGATCTTAAGGACATTGATGTAATATATAATTGTACTAATTCCTGCAAAGTGGGGCGGCGAACCCTTTTAAAGCCGAATACGTTAATAACAGCATCTTAAAATAACTTGGGTTCTGGAAGCGCCGTCACCTCTCATCCCATTGCAACTTTGACAGCCCTGTGTGTCCGCTTGGCCGCCTTTAGCACGCCCGGGTGAACTTTAAAAACCCGGCACCTCCGTTTTAAAACAACACACACACAACAATCGATTCCTTCGCGATTCCTTCCCAGCGTCTCTCAATATGCCGGGGGGAATCGATCGTCTCCAGACCTGAGAATCGATAGTAAGGGATCGCGGCGTCTCCGCGGTTGGGCGGTGTTTGTGTTGTTGCTGGTGGCGTTGCTGCTGGTACAAGTGCCGTGTGGTAGTAAATGTGCGCGGTCCCTGGGCTCGGTCGATCCCCTCTCGTCTCGCTGCCACCACCGCCGCTACCGCCGCCGCGATGTCCGCTCTGTACGCCTGCACCAAGTGTCACCAGAGATTCCCCTTCGAGGAGCTCTCCCAGAGCCAGCAGCTGTGCAAGGTGCGTGCCGGAACGGGGGACACGGGACGTCGGGAGCGGAGAGAGTACCCACATGGCACAGGAAGTGAGGGGAGTGTTGGGAGGAGGGGAGGGGGAAACGAGTTGCGAGTTTAGAGAGGGCGAGGCCTGCGCTGCTGCTGGAGCCTTGGGGCCCTGTGGGATGAAGTTGAGGGACACGGGGGTGCGGGATGGGTTCGAGATGATCTCGCCGGGTTCTTGGTCTCGATCCGAGAGTTTTCGATCGTCCTCCCGTCGATGCCCACCCAACGCTGTCTCTGCTGCGTGGTTTCCACCTACCCCCCCCCCCTCTGCCCGCTCCTTTAACCGAGGGAAGAGGCGAGCGCTGGGAGGGAGATTTCGGAGGAGACGGGAAATGACGGAGGTTGAAAACGCCGGCATCGCGCCGAGAGCGATGGCATTGGGAAAGGGAGTGAAACGTTCGGAACGTGCCAGGGGGGTGGCTGGAAGACTCGCAGGAGGGACACACACACATACACTGGGGATTCAGAGGGATAACGGGAGACTGAGAGGCAACTGCTGGGATCAAAAAGGAGAAAACGGCGGGTTACGGAGAAGAGCACAGGGTTGCCGGGAGGGTCGGGGAGATTAAGGGGAGCACGGGGAAGTTATGGGATCAAGTTGATTTTAGTGGAGTCAACTTTTGTCGTGCTCTGTTGTTTATTAGTACCCGCCAGAGCACAGCGTAATTGCCACCACCGCCGGCTAAGATGTTTGCCTAAAGCTCGTTTGAGCATCAATGACAGATTCGTTGAACCACCCGTGTCCTTAACGATGTCAGCATGTGTTCTCATGTCGTCTTTGTGTGGTTTGTGCTACTGAAAAGAGCCCGTTGTCGCTGTTAACAACGGGGGTTCTTAGACACAGGCCACGCAGGAAAAGACCAAGGGGCTATGCGGTGCTGAGGGTCCCGAAGGCAAGCTGAGACGACCCCCCCTCCTCCCCCGGCTGTGATGTTTCACCCACTTGGCCCCGTGGTTTCCCCCGTGTGCAGGACTGTCGCATCGCTCACCCCGTCGTCAAGTGTACCTATTGCCGCACCGAGTTCCAGCAGGAGAGGTGAGCTGCTGTTGCTGCTGATGCCTCGCGTCTCCATAAACTTCGGGGAGCGGAGAAGTGGCTGAGAGCTCAAAGCACACCGCAGGCACCGCTGAGATGGAATCTGTGCCCTCAAGTACCTAGCGTCGGGAGTATAGCGATGAAGAGTCAAGCACTTCCAACCACTGCTCTGCCTGGCTGCATGCCATTATTAGTACGCTTATGTAATAGGCCACACCGCAATATGTAACGATTTGGCGATTAAAAAGCGATTCTCAGCTCAACAGAATCTCGCTTTCCCGACTGAACATGAGGCGGTGCGGGATTTAGTTGCACTTCCCACAGCCAGTAGTGGAAATTCCGTGTTCTCTTGGAGTGTCATTCACTGCACATCGGGTGACCACTTAACCTTAGACCAGGATAGAACTCGTAACCTTTGGATTGCAAGCGTAGGCAAGTGTAGTGCGCCAATCATGGTACCATTCAGATATTTAATAGTCCATAGAACAGAGTTGATTTTTTCCACTTAGGGGGGGATAAAACTTTAATAATAGTTTCCAGTCCTTTGCCAATTCATTGCTGGATGAAGGCCTCCCCTTGCCGTGTCGGTCACGTGGGTTATTTGACCATACTTCACAATAATCGTTGCAGGTTGGTGAAGGGGGGGGGTTATGATGGTTCAGATCACTTGTACTGACGAGTGTAGTGAAGTATGGTCAGAGACAATCATTGACCGAAATGCACGGGGAGGTATTTATCCACCAGTGCATTATAAAGGGAAGACTTATTTTAGTGGCACTGAATTCTTTATATGTCCAATAAGAGTACATTAACATGTGGTCCCTTTTTAAATAGTCTGAAAATATCTATGATTCAAGATCTTTCAAAAAAAGCTAAAAATGCAAAATGTTGGCCCTTGTACTTTTAACAGCACAGCAACGTGACTACGTTTGTACAGTCAAGTCCTAAACACTCACCATCTGAGTCATTTACGAAGCCTTGCAACAGGAAACTGTTAGGTTGACTTTTTCAGTCGGTGAGCCAGAATGGTCATTGTCTGAAATGTTGATCTACTGAGTAAATTTATAAGGACGTTTAAATATTAATGTTATTTTTTATTAATGTGCTTATACATATAGGACCACCAAAATCTCTTAATTTTCCTAAAGTTTTGCCGCTTTGGGCAGACCCAACAAGTGAAATATCGAGCTTAATGAGTAAAATATTTGTCTTGTATTATTATAATAACAATAATTATATAACAATTATAATAACATGTAATCAATTATAATAACATGTGGGTAAAACACACACTTATTTTTGGCAATTTATGGCTTAAAATATGATTCAGCCAGTGGAAAACGATGTATATGATATCTTTCAAAATATGTGGAAACCGGCTGTCTGCCGACACTTGAATTACCCCCAACATCTGAGCTGCCGGCTGGCTGCCCTCAACATGTTTTGTGTTTGTGTGTCTTTTTATAGCAAGACCAATACCATCTGCAAGAAGTGTGCCCAGAATGTAAAACTGTACGGGACGGTATGTTTATTTTTACATTGCTCCCACGTATTTTTTTGCTCCCATTTACTTTCGGTAAATTTTGTGCGGTCGAATGCTACGCTACGAAAATAGTTGTTGTGGTCATTTGAGTCGGGACGCGGTGTTCTGGGCGGTGATGAGTGGTCGTGAATCGGCGTTGACGACAGCTTGTGCTCGTGTGGTGCACGCAGCCCAAGCCGTGCCAGTACTGTAACATAATCGCGGCGTTCATCGGCACCAAGTGCCAGCGCTGCACCAACTCGGAGAAGAAGTATGGGCTGCCCCTCGCCTGCGAGCAGTGCAAGCAGAGGTGCGCCTTCGACCGCAAGGACGACAGCAAGAAGAAGGTGCGGCCGTGCTCTCCGCGACACCTTTCGATTATAATATGAATTAAAAACTGGAGCACATGTTGCCGACGTGCTCCTACGCAGTGTATCTAACAAGACTTTGATGCGGCGTTAAAAATAATAATAATAATAAATTGCAGTCATAGTCAAACATGCAACTGAGGCACTCCAGTAACAATATTCGTTGACAAGAAGCATGTTTATATTTTCCCTTGCCACATGAATTTATTGCCATGATTCAGGTCAACAAATACATTCAATAATTTTTCCTCTATTAACTCTTTTGGTTTAGTAACATGAGTGCGGCCACTCACTCCATCACGCCTTCACGTACAAGTTAAAATGGGAATATATATTCACTCGTTTTCTTTGTTATCTTGAATGGAAGACACACGACAAATAAACATTAAAAAGCGGTTGTAGATATGTACTGAAGCTACTGTGATGTAAGGGTTGGCACACTGAACTTCAGCTGAAGTCCATATTGCAAGGAGTACATCATCACACTAAGTCCTATATCGCCAAGATTAAAGCTATTTATTTGGTAGAATCTTCCTTTATCACTGTCTAATTACAGGCAAATATATGGTAGGGTAATGTCTTGGTCAGTGGCCCTTATTCAGAAGGTAAGTGTTAATGAGGAAGGTGGTGATGTTTTGGGTGTGTGCGCATATACCACTGTCAGCGAGGTCCATTAATGTTTTATTATCTTCGAAATATTCTCTCCACTGTGTGCTCGTTGGTGGAGCTGTAGCACAGTGGTTTGTGCGCTGCGCTACGAGAACCCAGAGCAAAATCCACACACGAGGAAATTACATATAAAGGTTGCACATGAGTTCACAAATTCACTTCTGGACTGCCATGTTCTGACCACTTTGTAGCACAGCGAGTTAGAGGGTGTTTCAGATATGTGCAATATACTTATCCTTGCCTCTATATTCAGGCATGCGCCACCATGCTCAAGTGTTGTAGTTTCCTCTTGTCTCTGCGCTATGTTGTATGTGGTGTGCTGCGTGAACTGTATAGCTTTGTGTATGTGCTGGGTTTTGTATGCTATGCGCTTTTGTGCTGTGTGCTGCACATGCTGCATGTGATGGGTGTGGTTGCGTGTGTTGTGCTGTGTGATCTGCACATGCTGTGTGCAGCGTTTGTTTGTGCTATGTGTGATGCTTATGCTGTACGTCCTGTGGACATGCTGTTGTTTCTAGGTGGGTTGGAAGCTGCTGTGCTTTGCATTATGTGTGCCTATGTATTCCGCGTGTGCTGCATGTATTATGTGTGATTATATTCTGTGCTGGTGTCTCTGGGTAGTTGGAAAGCTGCTATGCCGTTGGTGAGTTGTGCTATGTATACTCTGCATCTGCTGCATGTACTATACAGGTGCTGTGTTCTGTGCTCCTGTTTCTAGGAAGATCGGCAGCTGCAATGCCATGGGTGGGTTGTGTCACGTATACTCTGCATGTGCTACATGTACTGTACAGGTGCTGTGCTCTGTTTCTGCTGTTTGTAGGTGGACGGGAAGCTGCTGTGCTGGTTGTGCACGCTGTCATACCGCCGCGTGTTGCAGAAGGCCAAAGAGCAGCACCGAGGGCTGGGGGCAGCGCAGCACCGCTCCTCCCAGGACGAGCGGCATGGGGCGCGCAAGGAACAGCACACGCACCGACAGTACGTGTAGGACTCACCGTACACGAGCACATACACAGACCATACTGTACACAAGCACACAGCTCACACAGTATGCATAGTACACACCACTCAGCCAGTGCACACAGTACACTGCACATAGCCAGTAAACAGAACACACAGTATGTACAGTGCACACAATGCACACAGCCATTGCACACAGTACGCGCACCGCCAGCAAGCATAGTATACACCGTATACAAGCATGCAAAGTACATATAGCGCAACCAGCACACACAGTGCACACAGCACACACTGCCAGTATGCCCAGCACACACTGCCAGTACGCCCAGCACACGAGTATAACCTACATGTGTGTGCCGTGTTGTGACGTTCTCAGCCACAAGTCTCCTGGCCCTGCCTCCCAGAACGATCCCCCGCAGAAGAAGCCCAAGGTGGAGAACAAACCCAGCAATGGAGACAGGCGAGCAGCCCCCCTGCACCCACACAGGGCTCACGTGCCCATCCACGGAGACACCTGTGCTTGCAGATTCAATACCACACAATACTCGTCCATGCAACGCATTGCAATATTATACAATACTAAACTGCACGATAATGTACGGTACGATGCAATACTATACAATGCAATGCTACACAGGACAAAACAACACAGGTGCAAGGGTGTGCGATGTGCAGTGTTGTGCTGCTGTGAAAACCAAAGTGGACGTGACCTAAAGTGAACTGAAGCCCTGGCGAAACGCCAGACTTGGAGTAATGGTAGGGTCAGTGGCAAGGCTGGTGCCAGTGGCATGTTAGTTAGGTCTACGGTTAGGGCTAATAATAGTGACTGTTAAGCTGGTTGATTAGGGTTTCAGTAAGCATTTGTGGCAGTGTTGGGTGGTGGGTGAGTGCTCTGAAAGGCACAAAACAACTCGTGGCTGGTTGGCACGATGGCTGGCAAGTCGCTCAGGTTAGGTGCAGGGCGAGTGTTTGGTTTATATTTGGCTCATGCACTCAGCCTCCCACACCACTTTCCCCTCCTCCCCGTGGATCGCCGCGTCGCTCGTCAGCGCGAGGCACTGTTCTTTCCGAGCATCTACTGACGCTCGGCCGGCCGCTATTGCGTGTCACTCGTGCGTGGTGCAGCGTATCCGGTGACGCCACCATGGACTCGGCGAGCTCGGACAACTTCATCCTGATCACTCAGCTCAAGGAGGAGGTGGCTCTGCTGAAGAAGCAGCTCCAGCAGAAGGAGGGGCTCATCCTGGAGAGAGATCGCAAGGTGGGTGGCACCGCTCGCCACCGCTCCCCTCGTCCTTTCCCCCACCGTGCTTGCGGCGCGCGATCCATGGCCATCTCTCAGGCTCCGCTGGCTTGCGATGCTGACTTGTGTCCATGTGCCTCTGCCTCTCTGTGCGTGTGCCTGCGTATGTAGCTCACAGAGATCAAGGCCGACTTCCAGTACCAGGAGAATCTGATCCGAACCAAGATGAACAACATGGAGCGCACGCACAAGGAATCCATTGAGCAGCTCCAGGTAAGAAATGATGACGGTACATGCATCAGCCTCCCCCCCTCAATCCCTTCCCCAGTCATAATGCCCTCAGTTATAGAGGTGGTTGGGTAACTCAAGGCACTGGTATTGTCAGATCTTTGAGCCAGTAGTGCAGAGGTCGTGGGTACACATTCGTGTTTCAGACACCTGTGATGTATGTATGTTGAACTTCTTTTGCACCGTACGTAAGCCAACCGTGCTAATCGGAAGTGCGGGGATTACACTGGGTTCCCATGTGTAGCGAATTTATGGCCTCGGCCTGGTCATGAATGACGCACAAAAACCCAGTGTACTAAGTTTGATTGCCAACCATTGCTAGCATCGGTGGCACATGATATCTGAACTTGTCACAGGCTCTCCCCACTCCCTTCTTCCCACATTGCCCAGCATTGTAAAGTGTGGTCAAACAACTGTGACTATGGCAAAATAACTCCTGTGAATAACATGGCATGGGTTGACCTTCATTCAGCATTGGATTGGCAAAGGGCTATACGTTTGTAAATATATGATTTGATCCAAATAACAGGGTTTGTCCTTTATCTTTTGGTGTGTATGTGTGCATTCAGTCTAAGAACCGAGAACTCATAAAGCAAGTTTCCAGCCTATCCAAGGGCAAGAAGCTGGATCGAGCCCCTGTAGGGACTTCATCGCCATAATCTCTCCCTCGACCAGAACCACTCCTCCAGTCACCTCACCCCCTCTCCTGCCATCCAGGAATTTTATACTGCAGCAGACTTGTGCGGACTTAGGGAAACCTTCACAGTTCTGCACGGTGCGCGACTATGCCTTTTTATCGACGAAGCCACACTTTTTAAACGCGAGTTATCCACGTTTGAACATGCTTCGCCCGATTTTTACTTTGTGTAACTTTTTACTCAAGGCAAGGCTGTACAGTTGGGGGGAAGGTGATGATGTTTTTAACTCAAATCACGTTTTTATACGAGCGACTGTTTTTAGTTGGTATCGTGACGTCAGAAGGAAAAATGCAACACAAAAATTAATCAAACGGATACCTCTCATCTTGAATGAGACTCGCCTAGACTGTGTGTCGCCCACACTGTTCAGGCACGAGTTTCATAAAAGCATTTAAGGCAATGATCTGGTGCACCATGATCATACTCGGGGTCAGTTATAACTACAATGACATGAGTACCCTCAGCTGAAATCACCATTGCATTTTTATTGCAATTTTTTTTACAGAATACACAATTACAGTTGTAATTGATTCTAGGTTCGACCATAGTACACTCGTGATGGCGCTTGAAGTGACAGTTGTAAGTGCGTGAATTGGCACCACGGCAACATTACAATAGCATTGTGGCAGTGTGCCTAACTGGCACAGTGCTCTCGTAGGGATGGAGTGGTGGCGCAGTGGTTAGTTGGCACACTGTTGTTAACCTGGTGACCCGAGTTCAATTCCTGTCCATGGCTTACCTCAAGTGGCAAGTGATAAATGTACTGGCCCTGGCCTCCCACCTTCACCAACCCACATTGACAATTGTGGCGAACTAGGGTCAAACAACCCCCGTAATGCACACGACGCGGGGAGGCCTTCATTCTGCAGTCGATTGACGAAGCCAAAGGGCTGTACACTTCTCATTAACATTCAATCATGTGTTGGCCAACCCTGGGGCACATAGCTTAGGTGTCTGTCTACAAGGTAGGTGGTGGTTGTTTTTTTAGGTTGCAGTCTTAACGCACGAAGTGACAGACAAGCTGGTTAAGTACGTGGTAAATGGATGTCCACTGGCTATGCAGGTTTCTCGTGTAACCAGTGGCATTTCGAGGAGTGCCTGGATGTGCAAGGGAATTTAGAAAACAGTTGTCCACAGTTGAGAAATAATCTCGGTTGATGGACAAAGGAGGAATCCATTTTCATCTGTTTTACCCCTGTGAAGAATTCACCTGGAATGCACCCAATCTCAGATTTCGGACGCGAAGCAGGTTTGAGCCTTGATAGTGCTTGGATGGGCGACAACCATGCATAAATAAAAGCTGTAGGCTGTTGCGGGGTTACGTCTTTGGAGGGAGGAGGACCATAAATGTACTATACTCTCCAACATCTTTGCTCTCTGCATTCAACACACTGATAAGTGGTGAAGTATGGACTGTCAAATAGCGCCCATGACCCTGCAGAGTGTGGGGAGGCCCTCATCCATTCGTGGATTGACAGAAGGGCTTTACATATACATTTGTGGTGGATAAACACCCATAGAGTGTTGTACAGTGTTCATATTTGTTGGTGGGCCTGAGCCACTGGTGGAAATCCATGCTTACTATAGCAGGAACCAGTTTCTGCAAAGGCCAGTGAATTTGCTGAAAGTATTTTCAATTAATTTATCTCGGGAGGGTTGAGGATGGTGGGCCAAGTCGACCCCCAACTGAGATTTGAATTGAACCTCCTTTTGAGTTGGTCACCCTACCACAGCCATGCAGCCAGATATTCGTATGTAAGAGGAATTGTCATGGTATGATTGGTAGATGTGAGTAGCCAGATGAGAGTAACTTGGCAGTGGTTTTAGTGCAGATGGACTATAATGTGCTGCTGTTGGCCGGCCCTATGTCGGTTTTTCAATGTACTGACTGTATTTCTGTTTTGTATTCATAACTTTTTTGAAATATGTTAATTTCGGCATGCTCTGATTTTGTTTTTAATGCTGCGGTCTATAACGGTAATGAGTTGTTCATTTCAAGGGTAACTTTTATTTGAAAGGCTTATTTTTTTTTCCCACCAGCCAGTTTGATATTGTATTGTTTATTTAAAGCTTACAGGCAGACCTCGCTTAGCGCTACGCTGTCGAACGCCGATTCGTTATAGCGTTTTTTGTCCTGGAGAAACTTTCGGCTAAAAAAAAAACTAATATCTAAAAAGCGTGTAGAATGAGAACAAGCAGTGCTGACCGAGGAAGGGCACCCGCCTCCATATTTGTTTACATTCAATGAGAGCGATGAACGCTCTTGAGCAAAGCAGCGGTCGCCAGTATTTTTTTTTTTAAACCACACCCGTCCACCGACGTGTTTTTATTTCGCCTTGGTCTCTCTGCCTTATCGTCTTTTTTTGTGAACATTTTTGACCCATAATATCTGGAAAAAACGTCTTGCGAGTGTTAGTGCCGGAAATGTCACCAAAGTGTCACTTTGGATGCTCAAAATGCAAGTTATACGGCGGGTCCAGGTGGGTGAGCGTCAGGTGTGTTGCACTGGCGAGTCCAGTACATAATGATGTAATACAAATATTTTTTTACTTCTAAAATAATGTGTACTCTCTATTATCGCTATTACTGAAACCCCAATGAAGCCTTCATTGATCATACGCAAGACCTAACGCTGTCAGGAATACATCCACATATACGGTATAATAATGACCCCTTTTAGCGCTCATTCAATTCGCGCTCCCTTCTTGGGCACTAAGCGAGGTCTAAGTGTAATGGTTTTACTCTTGATGACCTGGGAATGCAGATAAGTTCGCAATAAACAAGGGCATGGAATATTGTGCAGTGTGGTTTGTGTAATGTCATTTCTCCCTGCTTTTTCAACATTTTAAGTTTTATTTCTCCATTGTATTCAAATTGCACTGTCGATGCCATGTAATGAGACGGATACATTTCAGTGAGGATTTCTCCCAGCGAGCAGCGGTACATCATCACGTGACAGAGAATGGAACCTGAAGTTAACTTCGCCTCTTCAGAACGAATAATTAAGTCGCTTCAATTCCCTCGACCACATGAGTTGGTGCACTTTTTATAGTTGCTGCAAAACATTTTCATCACATGCCAATTTTGGAAAATAAACATTTAACAACGGTTCTGTGCAATTATTGGTGACCGGACTGAGACCAACTCGATATACTGGAGAATTTGCTTAAATCACAGGTGGCTGAAACCCAGTTTTTAATCCAGGATTTTACAAGTGCTGGCTCTGTTTTTGCAGTCTTAGGCTCCCAAGTCGAGCAATATATAAGACCTGCATTTAGTTTTCTCTGTCAATCTTCGATTTAATTGTTTTAATGGAATGGGAAAATACTATTATTTGGTGGCGAGAGGAATGCAATGTTCAATGTAAATAAAATAAAACCTGGACTATTAATGTCCTGGGAAGGCTTACAGATTTCCCAGGGTGGCTACCTCAACAAGAGGATACCCTGCAAAAACCAGGACAGGTGACAACCTTGGTTTCATCTGGTACATTTTCCAGGCGATCACCAGACTTTATAGCCTGAAAGTGTTTAGAATAAGGCAGTCGCTCCACTCCTATGTAAGAGAGGGTGATGCTCTCTTCCTAAGGTCCTACAGGAAGAGTCGGAAGAAGAAAATGAAGTAACGACAGATTATCTGGGGCTACACCAGCCTCTGCACGGCTAGTGCAGAGCAAAGACAGGTAGGGGGCCTGGCCCTATCCTGTTGAATAGCTAGTAATGGTGGTGCAGAAAACTTCCTGAGAAGACTGCATGGCCACGAATAAATAAGTCACAGGCCCTCGGCCCGGGGTGTAGCGATATCCATGAGACGTCGACGGGGAACCCCTTCCGGGCGTCCAATGCCAGCCACCAAATGCCAGCCACCGAGATTATGAAGTCTGAAAATGGACCTCAATCGTGAACATTCAGGTCAGCCTCGGCCTGCCTCCAGTCCCGAAGAAAGCCGTCGATTATCGTGTGCAGACCTCTGCTGCGATCCGCCAGCGTGTCAGCCCGGACAAAGTGAACAAAGAGCAAAATCCTCCTGGCTCTGACCTCGTATCACCCATAGACTCAAGCTGTCAGTTGCGACCGAATACTGCCGAGCCATACATAAATTAATCAACAGGCTTTTGATGTTAATAATATGAAACGTGTAAATGAAATATTCTGCTGTCTGTTTAATACTTTTTATTTATAGTCATAGATCAATGTCAAATCGTCCTCATTGTTTAATGCGTGTGGGGTGGTGCTCATCTCTTCCTGAGCCAGTGATACAAATTCCACATTCCCATGGCATGCAGTCTCGCCATTAATACTACCACTGTGGTCATCTTACATAGTCATACAGTACTCATTGTTTTATCGATACCCAAACAACTGCTGATCTACGTCAACTCCCGATCAGGATTTGAACAATCTTCAGAACCACCCAACCGCCGAGCACTGTGTAAATTCTCTCTTGCCTGGGGAACATTTAAACAAACAAAAAAACCCAATTCCTCAATAGCAAATGTACTTTATTAAACAAACGCCACAACGCATCCCTTAAGTGCAAACCCATGGCAATAGCCGCATCAGTCTTAAGCACAGGTTCGGGTGCTGTCCTCAGGCTTGGGTCCTGTCCTCAGTCGGTAGTCTTGGTGTATGTCTGGATGGCTGCCTAATTTATTTGACAGCTGCCACGTGCCCCTGTAGAGCTAGAGCACGGCCCACGCGGGACACGCGTGATACGCGGGTAGGAAAAGCATGCTGTGCCTGTGTACGTTTACCGTTTGGTCGTTTTGGCGTGAAAATCCGATGGCACAAGCTTGTCTTACAACTCCATGTTTCCATCCATCCGTCTGCGAATGACAGGTTCTGGCAGATGCCTGTTGACACTGGTTATAACTCGATAGATGTCCCCCCCTCCCCCAATTTAATTGTTTTTGAGATTACTCTCCAATGCACTGGTGTGCTGATGAAGTAGTAATACATTGGCCACGTTTGTTCACGTGTCAACATTTTTTTTATTTGTTGTGTCGGGTGGGGGAGAGTGCACACATCTTATTTACGCCATCGGACCCAAAGAAAATAAATTATTAATCTTAATATTAGTCGCTAAAGCCTACGTGTTAAATATATGTACAGGGGCCTTGATTTTAAGAAATGCACCTAAAATAAATAAAGTTTTATTGAACATTAAAAAAATTCATTATACTCATTAATCAGCTTACCACACAACTTACAGTAATATGTTTACCGTTGCACATTGCTGGATTTTAAATGCGGCCGGTTTCTATTTATTTAGACAGCTAAAAGCCCTTTTAATATAACGGCTTGAGTCACATGCAGTCGTGGTGGGGGTAGTTTGACCGTACTTCACCACACTGGTCTATAACCAGGTTAAATGAGGAATCGAACACTACCACCACGACTATAATATGCTCAAAGTGTAGTTGACGTTGGTCTACAACGATCAATTTTCTTTCATCATTGTTTAGTTTTTAACGAGGGCCAATCACGCTATTGGGATATCATTATTTCTGTGTTCAGATAATTAAGCAATGGAGATGCTGTCATCTCTGTTGATGCCACCAAGGCTGTGGTCAAAATTCCACATTCCCGTTGCAGGGGCCACTCTATCCTATCGTACAACTACTTTTAACTTCACACAAAGTGGGACGATGAGAATGATGATGGGCTGGTGGGCTGAGTTAACTCCCAACCAGAACTTGAACTCAAAGAAACCTTGTCTCATCGCTATTCATACACCTGCAAGACTCTATTTTCTTCGAGTGTTCCCGGTCTATAATTAGGTTTCCGAGATTGGCAATGTGTAAGGGAGCCTCACACCAGATTCAGGAATTGATAGGTGTCTGGCTAAGGGTGGCTATCTGTCAGGCTGCCATCGCCAATATACCCGTCAACACATTTAATGATAATTATGGAAAAAGGTTGCACATTTTAGATAGTCTCAGGTCAAATGAGGCCGATACGTTTCAATATTTGGGCAAATCTAGCAAATCTCCGATTAGCATGGTTGGCTATGTATGGTGCGAAAGAAGAAGTGCAACATACTGAATTTAAGATGTGCTAAATCTGCAGTATAGTTTGTGTAATAATAATGATTGTTGTCAACTTATAACACGCACAGTATTCTCTCACTCGAAGAGAGAAAACAACTCAGAGGCGCGAGGAATCACAGACAAGCAGGAAGGGCAGCCAGGAGGTGAGTCGGCACCAAATCCGAGCTCTGTGGTCCTCTGTATATTAAGGTGCTATCGGCCAATGTTTATTTTCATTTATGAGCAAGCCAGAGTAACTGGAGAAAATCCACGCGCGCGAGGGAACAACACTATATTCCCATACAGATGGAGACGTGTACAATTGCTGCGCTGCCTTCACCTGGGGAGCTAGGGTATGACACCTTTGACGTCCATGGGAAAGGAGTTTCACAGCATTTGTGCGGTCCACCAACCCTTGCCTTCACAGTGCTGGATTACAGGCGTGATCCACCACCTGCTTAACAAAAATAGTTGAATTCATGTATTCAGAACAGCCTCACATGGTCTCAAGACTCTTTGAAAAAGGATGTTTAGCCAATTCCATTAATGGGTGTTTTGCATGTGGAACAATAATTCGATATTGGTTAATATAGCATAAATAGTGGTTGTCCTATGGATGCTGTATGAAGCCAACTGAGTACCCAGAGAAAAGCCACGAGGGGATAACACTGAAAAGTCCACACAGGTGGGTTCACAATCCACTTCCTTGACTGCCATCTCTTGGCTGACCCACCGTGCAACCAATTAAAGTCTTTCATTTATTTTTCCTTTCACTGTCTTCTCCATTGGAATGACATTTTCAGTTACATGAAATACACAAATTAGTGTCAACTACAGTGGGAATTTTGAGGATAAACTGACCTCTGCAATGGTAATGTGGAATTTTCACCACTGGCCTAGGGTCACCAATGGATACGATCTCCATGTAAATATTTGAGCAAATACACACTTTGATATTTATTTTCAAAACAGGCTTGTTGCATTGATTAAGCAGGGGTAGATGCTATCGTAACGTGTGAAGTACTTACATGCTGATACACCATGCTAAGTCAGTCTAAGACCGTAGACAGCATTTGAAATATAATCCTCACTTTATAGTAAAACTGCATCGGTTTTATTTTCTGAGCCTGAAATATATTTTGTTTTTTTGTTTATGCTAAATTATATCTCATATATAGAAATAGGTTCTACCCTTTTAACTGGCACAAAAACTGACACCTTTATTCAAGGCATCATGTTTGCAATAACCACAACACAAGCAGTCAAAATGCAAAAAAAAAAGACAACTCTGATAATAATATGCACTGTCCTTGAATTTGATTGGTCCACACCCGAGACAGCTTTTCTTAGAGCCTAGTCTCCATTGGTGTTGGACCAGAAGACGCCAAAAATTAACAAAAAATAATATATATGTATTGCTGCTTAGCCCATTATTCCTTCTGGGTCAATACAATTAGTAGCACATTGTGAGAAAATAAATAGCGGTTGTCCTATGAAGAGACTGGCATCCTTCATGAAGACGTGTAATTTCCACCACTGTCACCTCGAGAGAGATTATTGCCACCCTATTGCTCATTTGGGTGGGGAGACACTAACATTTGAAAAACAAATGACAGTAATCACAATACAGTAATGCAATTGTAGTGACTGTGAATGTCACTGTATGGTGCCGGGCTTGCGAGGCCATGGCGGATAATGTGTTGTCATTATGTCAAGCCTGGTTACTGGGCATAGTACCGGCCTTAGCGGGGCTTGGGTGAGCGCTGGTGAGC